AGATCTTCAAAGTCACACAAGATCTTCAGACCTAGACAAAGTCACACAAGATTTTCAAAGTCACACAAGATCCTCAGACCTAGACAAAGTCACACAAGATCCTCAGACCTAGACAAAGTCACACAAGATCTTTAGACCTAGACAAAGTCACACAAGATCTTCAGACCTAGACAAAGTCACACAAGATCCTCAGACCTAGACAAAGTCACACAAGATCCTCAGACCTAGACAAAGTCACACAAGATCCTCAGACCTAGACAACGTCACACAAGATCTTCAAAGTCACACAAGATCTTCAAAGTCATACAAGATCCTCAGACCTAGACAAAGTCACACAAGATCTTCAGACCTAGACAAAGTCACACAACATCTTTAGACCTAGACAAAGTCACACAAGATCTTCAAAGTCACACAAGATCCTCAGACCTAGACAAAGTCACACAAGATCTTCAGACCTAGACAAAGTCACACAAGATCCTCAGTCCTAAACAAAGTCACACAAGATCCTAAGACCTAGACAAAGTCACACAAGATCCTCAGACCTAGACAAAGTCATACAAGATCTTCAGACCTAGACAAAGTCACACAACATCTTTAGACCTAGACAAAGTCACACAAGATCCTCAGACCTAGACAAAGTCACACAAGATCTTCAGACCTAGACAAAGTCACACAACATCTTTAGACCTAGACAAAGTCACACAAGATCCTCAGACCTAGACAAAGTCACACAAGATCTTCAAAGTCACACAAGATCCTCAGACCTAGACAAAGTCACACAAGATCTTCAAAGTCACACAAGATCTTCAAAGTCACACAAGATCTTCAGACCTAGACAAAGTCACACAAGATCTTCAGACCTAGACAAAGTCACACAAGATCCTCAGACCTAGACAAAGTCACACAAGATCCTCAGACCTAGACAAAGTCACACAAGATCCTCAGACCTAGACAAAGTCACATAAGATCCTTAGACCTAGACAAAGTCACACAAGATCCTCAGACCTAGACAAAGTCACACAAGATCTTCAGACCTAGACAAAGTCACACAAGATCTTCAGACCTAGACAAAGTCACACAAGATCTTCAAAGTCACACAAGATCTTCAGACCTAGACAAAGTCACACAAGATCCTCAGACCTAAACAAAGTCACACAAGATCCTCAGACCTAGACAAAGTCACACAAGATCCTCAGACCTAGACAAAGTCACACAAGATCTTCAAAGTCACACAAGATCTTCAAAGTCACACAAGATCTTCAGACCTAGACAAAGTCACACAAGATCTTCAGACCTAAACAAAGTCACACAAGATCCTCAGACCTAGACAAAGTCACACAAGATCTTCAAAGTCACACAAGATCTTCAAAGTCACACAAGATCTTCAGACCTAGACAAAGTCACACAAGATCTTCAGACCTAAACAAAGTCACACAAGATCCTAAGACCTAGACAAAGTCACGCAAGATCTTCAAAGTCACACAAGATCCTAAGACCTAGACAAAGTCACACAAGATCCTCAGACCTAGACAAAGTCACACAAGATCTTCAAAGTCACACAAGATCCTAAGACCTAGACAAAGTCACACAAGATCCTCAGACCTAGACAAAGTCACACAAGATCCTCAGACCTAGACAAAGTCACACAAGATCCTCAGACCTAGACAAAGTCACACAAGATCCTCAGACCTAGACAAAGTCACACAAGATCTTCAGACCTAGACAAAGTCACACAAGATCCTCAGACCTAGACAAAGTCGCACAAGATCCTCAGACCTAGACAAAGTCACACAAGATCCTCAGACCTAGACAAAGTCACACAAGATCCTCAGACCTAGACAAAGTCACACAAGATCTTCAAAGTCACACAAGATCTTCAAAGTCACAAAAGATCCTCAGACCTAGACAAAGTCACACAAGATCCTCAAACCTAGACAAAGTCACACAAGATCTTCAAAGTCACACAAGATCTTCAAAGTCACACAAGATCCTCAGACCTAGACAAAGTCACACAAGATCCTCAGACCTAGACAAAGTCACACAAGATCTTTAGACCTAGACAAAGTCACACAAGATCTTCAAAGTCACACAAGATCTTCAAAGTCACACAAGATCTTCAGACCTAGACAAAGTCACACAAGATCTTCAGACCTAGACAAAGTCACACAAGATCCTCAGACCTAGACAAAGTCACACAAGATCTTTAGACCTAGACAAAGTCACACAAGATCTTCAGACCTAGACAAAGTCACACAAGATCTTCAAAGTCACACAAGATCCTCAGACCTAGACAAAGTCACACAAGATCCTCAGACCTAGACAAAGTCACACAAGATCCTCAAACCTAGACAAAGTCACACAAGATCTTTAGATCTAGACAAAGTCACACAAGATCCTCAGACCTAGACAAAGTCACACAAGATCCTCAGACCTAGACAAAGTCACACAAGATCTTTAGACCTAGACAAAGTCACACAAGATCTTCAGACCTAGACAAAGTCACACAAGATCCTCAGACCTAGACAAAGTCACACAAGATCCTCAGACCTAGACAAAGTCACACAAGATCCTCAGACCTAGACAACGTCACACAAGATCTTCAAAGTCACACAAGATCTTCAAAGTCATACAAGATCCTCAGACCTAGACAAAGTCACACAAGATCTTCAGACCTAGACAAAGTCACACAACATCTTTAGACCTAGACAAAGTCACACAAGATCTTCAAAGTCACACAAGATCTTCAGACCTAGACAAAGTCACACAAGATTTTCAAAGTCACACAAGATCCTCAGACCTAGACAAAGTCACACAAGATCCTCAGACCTAGACAAAGTCACACAAGATCTTTAGACCTAGACAAAGTCACACAAGATCTTCAGACCTAGACAAAGTCACACAAGATCCTCAGACCTAGACAAAGTCACACAAGATCCTCAGACCTAGACAACGTCACACAAGATCTTCAAAGTCACACAAGATCTTCAAAGTCACACCAGATCCTCAGACCTAGACAAAGTCACACAAGATCTTCAGACCTAGACAAAGTCACACAACATCTTTAGACCTAGACAAAGTCACACAAGATCTTCAAAGTCACACAAGATCCTCAGACCTAGACAAAGTCACACAAGATCTTCAAAGTCACACAAGATCTTCAGACCTAGACAAAGTCACACAAGATCCTCAGACCTAATCAAAGTCACACAAGATCCTAAGACCTAGACAAAGTCACACAAGATCCTCAGACCTAGACAAAGTCATACAAGATCTTCAGACCTAGACAAAGTCACACAACATCTTTAGACCTAGACAAAGTCACACAAGATCCTCAGACCTAGACAAAGTCACACAAGATCTTCAGACCTAGACAAAGTCACACAAGATCCTCAGACCTAGACAAAGTCACACAAGATCTTCAAAGTCACACAAGATCCTCAGACCTAGACAAAGTCACACAAGATCTTCAAAGTCACACAAGATCTTCAGACCTAGACAAAGTCACACAAGATCCTCAGACCTAGACAAAGTCACACAAGATCCTCAGACCTAGACAAAGTCACACAAGATCCTTAGACCTAGACAAAGTCACACAAGATCCTCAGACCTAGACAAAGTCACACAAGATCTTCAGACCTAGACAAAGTCACACAAGATCTTCAGACCTAGACAAAGTCACACAAGATCTTCAAAGTCACACAAGATCCTCAGACCTAGACAAAGTCACACAAGATCTTCAAAGTCACACAAGATCTTCAAAGTCACACAAGATCTTCAGACCTAGACAAAGTCACACAAGATCTTCAGACCTAGACAAAGTCACACAAGATCCTCAGACCTAGACAAAGTCACACAAGATCTTCAAAGTCACACAAGATCCTCAGACCTAGACAAAGTCACACAAGATCCTCAAACCTAGACAAAGTCACACAAGATCTTTAGACCTAGACAAAGTCACACAAGATCCTTAGACCTAGACAAAGTCACACAAGATCCTCAGACCTAGACAAAGTCACACAAGATCTTCAGACCTAGACAAAGTCACACAAGATCTTCAGACATAGACAAAGTCACATAAGAAGCTACAATACTTCTGACATGACTTATGACATGACTTATGACATAACTTACGACATAACTTATGACATGACTTATGACATGACTTATGACATGACTTATGACATGACTTATGACACGACTTATGACATGACTTATGACATGACTTATGACATGACTTATGACATGACTTATGACATGACTTATGACATGACTTATGACATGACTTATGACATGACTTATGACATGACTTATGACATGATTTATGACATGACTTATGGCATGACTTATGACTTACCCAGTTTCTTGGCCTCTGCCACCAAAGTCCTAAAGTCATGTATGTCACCAAAAATGGGGTCGACATCTTTTTGATCGCTGATGTCGTAACCAAAATCTTTCTGGGGTGACTTGTAAAATGGACTGATCCAAAGGGTCTCCACCCCCACGTACTTGAAGTAAGGCAGCTGGGAGATGATGCCTGGGGGGGGGGGGTAATAAGCTTGATTAGATTTTTTAAATTACTGGTTTTTTAGTCTAACCTTTACTGTGACCTGTCATACTTTAAAGATCACCTGTCTTAGATTGAAGGTTGATTATCTTACCGTTAAGTTTGCCTCCCTTACCTTGAAAGTCACCTGTCTTACCTTGAAGGTCACCTGTCTTACCTTGAAGGTCATCTGTCTTACCTTGAGAGTCACATGTCTTACCTTGAGAGTCACATGTCTTACCTTGAAGGTCACCTGTCTTACCTTTACTTTCTTACCTTGAAGGTCACTTGTCTTACCTTGAAGGTCACCTGTCTTACCTTGAAGGTCACCTGTCTTACCTTGAAGGTCACCTGTCTTACCTTTACTTTCTTACCTTGAAGGTCACTTGTCTTACCTTGAAGGTCACCTTTCTTACCTTGAAGGTCGCCGACGCCGTCACCGTCGGAGTCCTTGAATGACCTGGGGTAGATCTGGTAGATGACCGTCTGCTTCCACCACTCCATGGGGGGTGGGGTCGGGTCGGGGTCGTCCACGAGGAACCCATGACCCGAGCTGGTGAAGACAGCGAGGAAGACGAGCATCAGCCTCATCATGGCGTGGTGTGTGTAGACCCGTGTGTAGACCCGTGTAGACCCGTGTGTTGGTGCCGAGTGACTTGGAATCTGAGCGGACAGAGTTCTGGTCTAGTAGTATCAGCAGTTAAAACCCTGTAGCCGTTCTTTAGTTGACTTCAAGATAAGCTTTCTTAAATAGTTTTCTGAAGAAAAAAAAAAGGTGCCAGTATTTCACTTGGTCCATCTCCTAACATCACGTGACTAGTCAGCATGACACAGCAGGTTAGTGAGTTCAATCGAACCAAGGCAGAAAAAAAATCTTTCAATCACTTTCATCCCATCAATGACATAGCAATTTCTTTAAGTTTTGGAAATATTTTTAAAAATCATTTCATTAAATTAAACGTAAATAATATGTACCATATGAAAACCTTTGTAATCTAATTGTTTAGTTAAAGATAAGAAAATAGGAGTTGAAGAAATCATGACGCAGCATGACTCACCTAACCAATCGTTTGTCGTTGTGGTGTGTCCTAGTGTCAGTGGTTCTTCCAGGCACCTCTTCGGGTGGGGGGGGGGGGGGGGGGGGGGGGGGGGAATGGGGGGAGGGGGCGGCTTGGAGAACCCCCCCCCCCCTGAACAAAGTCTACCGCCCCCCCCCCCATCGAATTGGATATTTATATAGAAAAATATATAATTTTACCACTGTCCGTCCACCCCTCTTCCGCCATAAAATTTAGTCCGCCCTACTCCCGAAAATATTAAGTGCCCCCCCCCCCCCGGAGAAAAGTCTGGAAGAAACACTGCCTAGTGTCCCAGCGGCGTGTCCTAGTTATTACCTATGAGTGAAAACCCGACCAGTAATCTCTAAAAGACATTTGCCTGCCCCATCAAAGTGGTCGACATTTGGGCAACCAACCGTGACCATACATTCAGCGTGAACTACAGCTCAACTTATTGGGCGATCGCATCTAGCTTGTTATCTCCCCTCCTTGTTGAATATAGGAATCTGTCGAGTAATTAATTTTGTTAATTCCGAGTTATTTCGAGTTCGTTTAATTCATTTTTAATTTCAAATTAAACATCATGTTAAATTAAAATATAGACTTGTATTGTCATCGAAGTGGAACGTAACTGGAAAGTTTGAACGAAGTAGGTCAAGATTGAGTTCCAAGATTCGCCACAAATCCACAGTAAAACAAACAAATAAACAAATTGACATTACTAACAAAAAAGATCTTGCAATAAAAACAGAGGTCTTGACTCTAGAATAGTATGGGAGGTAATACAAGAAAATGTACCAACCTCGAAGACAAACACAATTACGTCCCCTGTTTAATTTCGAGAATTCAAAATTTTAATAAATCTCCACCTTTTACAACACGCTGAGTAGGAAAAACATGGTTTTCAATTTCGTCTGTATTTCTGTGTGTCTGTATGTCTGTATGTGTGTTTGTATATTTGTATGTTTAGTGTTGCTATATGCAAAAAAAAAAAAATTACAACAAATAACCCACTGCTTAGCCTATTAACTCACAATAATTTTATTTCTTTTCTATCTACCTATCATTTAATATACACACTCACTCTCTCTCTCTCTCTCTCTCTCTCACACACACACACACACACACAATCACTCACACACATACACAATCACTCACACACACACACACACGTGCGCACGCACGCACTCACGCACGCACCCCCTGTATCTAAAACATCTACGGTCACGTGATCGACAGTCGCTCACCTGATACGCTTCGATAGGTCCTGATCTAGCCCTGTCTTGTTGTCTTCCTACATCTAAACCTGCCCCCCCCCCCCACACTTTTATCTGCCCTCATTTAACCCTGTCCTGTTGTCTGCCCTCATCTAAACCTGCCCCCCCCCCCCCTCCACACACACTTTAATCTGCCCTCATCTAACCTGCCCTAACTAACCTTTGTCTTCCCATACCAGCCAATAAAATATCGGACCCAATTAGCGACCAGGTCACAGGTCACTGCAGGTCAAATACCAGGCGTTGGATTTCTTTTACAAATATCCCGTCCAAGTGAAATTTGAAATAAAAATTCTGTTCATTTTCAGTCACTTCTTTCAAGAGCGTTAAATCAAGAATGTCTAAAAATGTAAAATATATAACTGGTTACGTCCCTTTGACCATAAATTTATGGTCACTGTGCCTTAACACAAGTTACGACTTGACGGTGTCGATAAGATTTTACTAGAGAATCTGCTAGCGTTAGTGGTCAGTTCTGGCCAGTGGTAGTGGTCACCATTGGTCTATGGTAGTGTTAGTGGTCAGTACTGGTCAGTACGCCACTCAAATGTACGCCATCCCACCCAATGTACGCCACCCCACCCAATGTACGCCACCCCAGAATAGACACCCCACACTAGACACCCCACACTAGACACCACACTAGACACCACACTAGACACCCCACACTAGACACCCCACACTAGACACCCCACACTAGACACCACACTAGACACCCCACACTAGACACCCCACACTAGACACCCCACACTAGACACCCCACACTAGACACCACACTAGACACCCCACACTAGACACCCCACACTAGACACCCCACACTAGACACCACACCAGACACCCCACACTAGACACCACACCAGACTCCCCACACTAGACACCCCCCACACCATACACCCCACACTAGACACCCGACACTAGACACCCCACAATAGACGCTCCACACTAGATCACCTGTGATTATAGACCGATTAAAACATATTGACCCTTACCACTGATCCGGCTAAATGGCTAATTAAACGATCCTGTCATTAGAACACCCTTACTATTGATCCATTTAACCGGCTAATTAATCCACCCGTCAACTGTACTTAGAGAGCCCTTGAGATTCACCTATCCCAGCTCTCTCCGCGGCCCGTCCCCCCGATCTTGTCCCCTATGTCCCCACAGTTCACACGCTACAAGGCGGGGTCCTGACCCCTGCGTGTCAACAACCCATGCGACTGTATTAGCCCGGGTCGGCGCGGGTCGATCCGTTTTTTGTTGTCGTCTGATTAAAGCAGCGATCCCAGTCGATAAGTGGCCGGCCGTGCAAGACTGGTCTATCTCCAGACGGGGAAAGTAAATTAGATTTGAAATTTATTGAAATTGTTCACAGTGTACCGTACACACGCTAAAAGTTGACCGTTAAAAATGTCTGAATATATTACATTTTATCTTAAAGTCCCCCCCCCCTCAAATATCGCATATTGCAGGATGTAGGAAGCTACACAACATTAACATAATTTAATTTAGTAATGACATAAATCTGTTCTAATTGTTTTTATTTCGTTAAATTTAGAAGCGGGGTGGGGTGAAAAAACTATTGGAAACTAAAATCAAGTGTAACTGCTGAATGAAGGCGGGGGTGGGGGTGTGTGGGAGAGGGGGGGGGTAATGGTGAATTGGTTTCTAACAAGAAATTGTGCACCAAGGCAGCTTAAGTTACGCCCCTGGTTGCGTGTGTCTTGTCCCCCGGGGATAGCATTGATCCAGCTAGGGGGGGGGGGTTGGTTTAAAGACTTTCGGTTAAAAGACACTTCTCTGTTGAGCGGCGTAGTTGCTGATTTGAAAAAAAGTAGTCCCGGACTCTACCAATGAAAGTACCAATACAGTGAGGGTGACAACTACACCCCCACCCTCATCCCACCCCCTTAATGTACACAACCGCCCCCTCTCCCAGCCATATTCAACTCCTGTTCACCCCCACCCCACCCCACACATGTAAGAACTTACTTGTTAAACAATAAAGTGTGATCATTGTTGGAAATGTGGAAAATCTGACGCGATCTAAGGTAAATCAAACCCAGATCAAACTGATTTTTCTCCCAGCTATTGTAGGACGTCAAATTGATATGTGTTTCTAGCTATTGTAGGACGTCAAATTAATGTGTTTCTAGCTAATATAGGACGTCAAATAGATGTTTTTCTAGCTAATGTAGGACGTCAAATTGATGTGTTTCTAGCTAATGTAGGACGTCAAACTGATATGTGTTTTTAGCTAATGTAGGACGTCAAATTGATCTGTTTCTAGCTAATGTAGGACGTCAAATTGATATGTGTTTCTAGCTAATGTAGGACGTCAAATTAATGTGTTTCTGGCTAATGTAGGACGTCAAATTAAATGTTTCTAGCTAATGTAGGACGTCAAATAGATATGTTTCTAGCTAATGTAGGACGTCAAATTGATATGTATTTTTAGCTAATGTAGGACGTCAAATTAATGTGTTTCTAGCTATTGTAGGACGTCAAATAGATGTTTTTCTAGCTAATGTAGGACGTCAAATTAATGTGTTTCTAGCTAATGTAGGACGTCAAATAGATGTTTTTCTAGCTAATGTAGGACGTCAAATTGATGTGTTTCTAGCTAATGTAGGACGTAAAATTGATATGTGTTTTTAGCTAATGTAGGACGTCAAACTGATATGTGTTTTTAGCTAATGTAGGACGTCAAATTGATCTGTTTCTAGCTAATGTAGGACGTCAAATTGATGTGTGTTTCTAGCTAATGTTGGACGTCAAATTGATGTGTTTCTAGCTAACGTTAAATGTCAAATAAATGTGTTTCTAGCTAATGAAGGACGTCAAATTGATATGTGTTTTTAGCTAATGTAGGACGTCAAACTGATATGTGTTTTAGCTAATGTAGGACGTAAAATTGATATGTGTTTTTAGCTAATGTAGGACGTCAAACTGATATGTGTTTTTAGCTAATGTAGGACGTAAAATTGATATGTGTTTCTAGCTAATGTAGGACGTCAAACTGATATGTGTTTTTAGCTAATGTAGGACGTCAAACTGATATGTGTTTTTAGCTAATGTAGGACGTCAAGTTGATATGTATTTTTAGCTAATGTAGGACGTCAAATTAATGTGTTTCTAGCTATTGTAGGACGTCAAATAGATGTTTTTCTAGCTAATGTAGGACGTCAAATTAATGTGTTTCTAGCTAATGTAGGACGTCAAATAGATGTTTTTCTAGCTAATGTAGGACGTCAAATTGATGTGTTTCTAGCTAATGTAGGACGTAAAATTGATATGTGTTTTTAGCTAATGTAGGACGTCAAACTGATATGTGTTTTTAGCTAATGTAGGACGTCAAATTGATCTGTTTCTAGCTAATGTAGGACGTCAAATTGATGTGTGTTTCTAGCTAATGTTGGACGTCAAATTGATGTGTTTCTAGCTAACGTTAAATGTCAAATAAATGTGTTTCTAGCTAATGAAGGACGTCAAATTGATATGTGTTTTTAGCTAATGTAGGACGTCAAACTGATATGTGTTTTAGCTAATGTAGGACGTAAAATTGATATGTGTTTTTAGCTAATGTAGGACGTCAAACTGATATGTGTTTTTAGCTAATGTAGGACGTCAAATTGATCTGTTTCTAGCTAATGTAGGACGTCAAATTGATGTGTGTTTCTAGCTAATGTTGGACGTCAAATTGATGTGTTTCTAGCTAACGTTAAATGTCAAATAAATGTGTTTCTAGCTAATGAAGGACGTCAAATTGATATGTGTTTTTAGCTAATGTAGGACGTCAAACTGATATGTGTTTTAGCTAATGTAGGACGTAAAATTGATATGTGTTTTTAGCTAATGTAGGACGTCAAACTGATATGTGTTTTTAGCTAATGTAGGACGTAAAATTGATATGTGTTTCTAGCTAATGTAGGACGTCAAACTGATATGTGTTTTTAGCTAATGTAGGACGTCAAACTGATATGTGTTTTTAGCTAATGTAGGACGTCAAATTGATATGTGTTTCTAGCTAATGTAGGACGTCAAATTGATATGTTTCTAGCTAATATCGGACGTCAAATTAATGTGTTTCTAGCTAATGTTGGACGTCAAATTGATGTGTTTCTAGCTAACGTTAAATGTCAAATAAATGTGTTTCTAGCTAATGAAGGACGTCAAATTGATATGTGTTTTAGCTAATGTAGGAAGTCAAATTTATATGTGTTTCTAGCTAATGTAGGACGTCAAATAAATGTATTTCTAGCTAATGTAGGACGTCAAATAAATGTATTTCTAGCTAATGTAGGACGTCAAATAAATGTATTTCTAGCTAATGTAGGACGTCAAATTGATTGTGTTTCCGACCTTTGACGCGCGTTAGGCTTAGCTGAAACTGAATTTGTTTTTTATGTGAAAACGCAGCAGACTTGAGATCACATCAAAGACGTCACGCGTCTTGATCAGGGCAGACGTCATGACGTCACTAAAACAATTTCTGATTTATTCTCCTGGCGAAGGGACTTTAAAGTGAATCATGATTTATTGCTCAATAGTGGAGCACTCAAACGTTTATACGGTTGGATAAGAACATTTGTCAAATTTATAGTTAGCAGGGAAGTGGAGAGTGTACATAAACCAGGTGTACATGCGTGTGTACGAGACTCGGAGTGTACATAAACCAGGTGTACATGCGTGTGTACGAGACTCGTGTACACAAAATGTCCGACAACTGATTGGTGTAGGCACCCGAGGGACAGGATTTAAAGAACATTTCATCCCCTCAGCTGTTCCTGGATCAATGGAACTTTCTAGATTTATTTTGTTTATTTTATCTGCCAGTTACCTTGCCAACACCACAGGTGAGAGAGTTGCTTTATTTTAATTTGAATGACATTTGTAATATTAGAAGCAGCTGGTGTCTAGTAGTATACACAGTAGCCTGTAGGCTACTTCTTTTCTAGGCTAAGTCAGGTGTCGTCGTGACTTAAGTCAGGTGCCATGGCTCAAGTCAGGTGCCATGACTTAAAAGTCATGTAGCGACCATGACATGGCTGGACTACGAGCTCCAGAATTCAGGGCCAATGAACTTACTCTGTATCTCTCATTATTTATTGCTAATTAGTAATTATTCCTCTAGATGGAGCTAGTTGCAGCTTTCCTGCTGATCTGAGGGGGGCGTGGATGTCCTCAAAGAAAGGTGACGTCACGTTTACATCGACGTCATTGAGCGGTTACCACCCGTGTCGTTACCCAAATCTCTGTCCTGACGTCACCAGCAACTGGACATGCGTGGACAACATCGGAGCCAAGTACCTGCTCAGGTGAGTTCATTGACCTTTATCTGCTCAAGTGAGTTCATTGACCTTTATCTGCTCAGGTGAGTTCATTGACCTTTATCTGCTCAAGTGAGTTCATTGACCTTTATCTGCTCAAGTGAGTTCATTGACCTTTATCTGCTCAAGTGAGTTCATTGACCTTTTTCTGATCAAGTGAGTTCATTGACCTTTATCTGCTCAAGTGAGTTCATTGACCTTTATCTGCTCAAGTGAGTTCATTGACCTTTATCTGCTCAGGTGAGTTCACTGACCTTTATCTGCTCAGGTGAGTTCATTGACCTTTACACGTATCCTCAATGTATCTGCTCAAGGTCATTGAGCCAATACATTTAATTCTATTTGAAACAGCCTCGCAAGCAATTTTTTCAATAATACGCAAATTATAAAACGTGAGTGATCTCCCCTTAACTCTCTCGTATATTAAAATGTTTTAATAGAAAAGAATGGCGTAGAAAATGAACGCAAACAATGTGTGTATAATAGTGCAAAAAATAGAAATGGAAATTTATGTAGGAAACATTACTAATTTTTAAAAAGTTAAACATCTACGGAATTCAAATTTTATATCAGAGTGAACATCGAGATTGACATCAGTGAATTTTTTTTAAATCGATCCGGGGGGAGCGATATTCTTTGAGAAATCGGAAATAGCGTAAAGTATTACTTCCGGTTACCGGAAATCGCTCAAAAGTTGATACTGTAACACTGTAATACTTTCGTCCAACTAACTTAAACGGTAGTTGATTGGTTTTTTGAGAAAAATAAGTAGAGTAGGTACCAGTTCCCATGATTGAAAATCGCTCAAAAGTTAACAGGAAATTACAAATTTGATATTATACTTATATATTAGATTTCGTACACACTGACAGAGTCACTGACAGACGGACAAAATTGCGAAACCAAGTTTTTCCGTTCCGGAAGGAAGTAAAAGGTCAAAGTTGATCAAAATCTCTGGTTCGATTTTTTGCACGATTACAATGGATCATTTCTGTTTCATACATGATAATGTATGGAGGCGTAAAAAGGCGAAAACTCTCAACGTATCTGTTAATTGTTGAGTACGATTTCACAACTTCCTCTAAACTCTGTGTACGTGAAAGTACAAAGTGAGCTAACCAAACAGTGGGTACACAAAGTGGACTCGTCATAGATTGCCATTGTAACTGACGTGTCCTTACATTTCCAGGAGCGGCACCATACAGGGGGTGGGGACCACCGGCCACGCCTTCACCTGTCTCTACCTGTACCGCATCAGCAGCACCAAGTACCTCGCGTACCAGGGACCTAAAGGTAGGTCATTTACCCTTCAGCGACCTAAAGGTAGGTCATTTACCATTCAGCGACCTAAAATTAGATCAGTTTCCATTATGGAACCTAAAGGGAGGGTTTTTTTTTTTACCATAGAGTGGCATAAAGGTAGGTCTATAGGTCATCCAGCCTCCATAGGTCATCCAGTCTCCAGAGAGGTCAAGCAGGTCACAGTGTCATGTTGTATCACGTGACATCTCGCAAGCAATTATTACGTCACACGAGTGGAGTCAAAAGATGTGACCTGATTATTGAGTCTATATTTAACCTGTGCACGGTCCGTGCACTCACTAATTAACATGTGCACGGTACGTGTGCTCACTAATTAGCATGTGCATTTTATGTACTAATTAATTTGTGCATGTCGCATGTACTCACGAACTGACCCGATGACCACATTTCCAGCCGAACGTGGAGCCCCATATTTTGATTACGTCATACTGCGCCAGTCCACACAAGCAGACTTGAACATCACCCAAGTGTGCAACCTGGCAGACAACCCGCCAGCCCGACACAACCTGTTCGTCAAGAATGGTGAGTCCGTCTGTTAACGTATGAATACATCTCATCTAGGTTGGCTAATTATTGTCTAATTATGTTAATCAGATTGATTAAAGGACCAGGTGTGTTCCACAGACTCGTTGATTACGTCAGAGACCACGTGTCCGACTGACCTACTTGGCGACTACACGAGTGAGTGTAACGGTACGGTGCGTGTGTGTGGCGACCGGAAGCAGGTCGAGGTCAATAACTGTAACAACGACATCCTATACACAGGTAATTCATCAGACAAAAACTAAATTTAAAAAACAAAAACAAAGTCAGGTGACCAGAAGACTCGCCCTGCCCCCCCCCCCCACGCACCCTCTGACCACATCTTCAGGCCGATGGTCTCCCCAGCGTGACTCGAACCCCGTCCCACGAGTTGTCAGACCTGTTTCTACCTTTCAGGGAACGCCACTCTGTCGTGTCTCTACAGCCTGGCAGAAGGGGACACAACCTACGTCACACTGGTCAACAGAAATCTGGAGAGTGACGGCACTTTGCCCCACAAGTTTGTCTGTCTGGTAAGTTTACATCAGTGTCTGTCTGTCTGTTCAGTTTCTGAGGCTGTCGTCATGTTATGTATCTCCTCTCAGAATGTCCTGAATGTCCTGTTTAATAGTTCTAGTGCCCCCCCCCCCCCCTCATTGTGTTGCAGGCGATGATCCTGAACGGCAGCACCATCCTGGTGAGACAGAACTACAGCGAGTGTTATGGTCTGGCCACGCCCACTTCCGTCACAGCTGACTTCATCCTGACGCCATACAGTAAGTTTGTCTAGTGACGTCATCCTGACGCCATACAGTAAGTTTGTCTAGTGACGTCAACGTGACGTCATCAACGTGGTGTTGTAACGTTGCGACCCACTTATTAACTGGACTCACATCACCTTAACATCGGTGTATCAGGAGAACCTTTTAAACCCCACATTACCTCAACTAATTAGGTAGACATCATCTAAACTAATTAGACACCATCTCAATCAACTTATTCATCATTTACACGTATATGTTTTAAAGCTTAATTAATTATTTTTTTATCAATTTGTTTTCCAGATCTCTGCCGTAAGTACGCTTTATTCATCTAAACTGGTTATTCTAGAACAATCATAATGTTGATTGTTCTATCAAAACAAAACGTTGATTGTTTTAGTAAGTGACGAGTAACGCCATCTTTAACGATTTTATCAAATTTTTCAAAGTAGATTCTTAAGCCGTGACGTCAACCTTTCTATAACAGATTTCAAAGTTTGTTAAATACTGTCACTTTCACGTCTACATGTCATTCAAAACGTCTACATGTCATTCAAAATCTCCCATGACATTTGACCTGACATTTCAGCGATCGGCTGCACATTTGCCGCCTTTTTGGTGGGCAACTGGTCGAGCAGCAGGAAGGGCGAGCTGGTGGTGACCAACGCGACGATTGAAGGGTTCGAACCCTACAGTGACGCCTGCAGGTCGGACACCTGCGACAACCTGCCGACCACCTTCGAGTGTTACCTGCGGGATGGTGATCAATACTTGATCAGGTGATTGCTTCATACCTCTCTCTCTATCTCTTCATACCTCTCTCTATCTCTTCACACCTCTCTCTATCTCTTCATACCTCTCTCTATCTCTTCATACCTCTCTCTCTATCTCTTCATACCTCTCTCTATCTCTTCATACCTCTCTCTATCTCTCTATACCTCTCTATCTCTTCATACCTCTCTCTCTATCTCTTCATACCTCTCTCTATCTCTTCATACTTCTCTCTATCTCTTCATACCTCTCTCTATCTCTTCATACCTCTCTCTATCTCTCTATACCTCTCTCTCTTCATACCTCTCTCTCTATCTGTTCATACCTCTCTATCTCTTCATACCTCTCTGTCTATCTCTTCATACCTCTCTCTATCTCGTCATACCTCTCTCTATCTCTTCATACCTCTCTCTATCTCTTCATATCTCTCTCTATCTCTTCATACCTCTCTCTATCTCTTCATACCTCTCTCATTCTCTCTATACCTCTCTCTCTCTTCATACCTCTCTCTCTATCTGTTCATACCTCTCTATCTCTTCATACCTCTCTGTCTATCTCTTCATACCTCTCTCTATCTCTTCATACCTCTCTCTATCTCTTCATACCTCTCTGTCTATCTCTTCATACCTCTCTCTATCTCATCATACCTCTCTCTATCTCTTCATACCTCTCTCTATCTCTTCATACCTCTCTCTCTATCTCTTCATACCTCTCTCTATCTCTTCATACCTCTCTCTATCTCTTCATACCTCTCTCTATCTCTTCATACCTCTCTCTATCTCTCTATACCTCTCTATCTCTTCATACCTCTCTCTCTATCTCTTCATACCTCTCTCTATCTCTTCATACTTCTCTCTATCTCTTCATACCTCTCTCTATCTCTTCATACCTCTCTCTATCTCTCTATACCTCTCTCTCTTCATACCTCTCTCTCTATCTGTTCATACCTCTCTATCTCTTCATACCTCTCTGTCTATCTCTTCATACCTCTCTCTATCTCGTCATACCTCTCTCTATCTCTTCATACCTCTCTCTATCTCTTCATATCTCTCTCTATCTCTTCATACCTCTCTCTATCTCTTCATACCTCTCTCATTCTCTCTATACCTCTCTCTCTCTTCATACCTCTCTCTCTATCTGTTCATACCTCTCTATCTCTTCATACCTCTCTGTCTATCTCTTCATACCTCTCTCTATCTCTTCATACCTCTCTCTATCTCTTCATACCTCTCTGTCTATCTCTTCATACCTCTCTCTATCTCATCATACCTCTCTCTATCTCTTCATACCTCTCTCTATCTCTTCATACTTCTCTCTATCTCTTCATACCTCTCTCTATCTCTTCATACCTCTCTCTATCCCTCTATACCTCTCTCTCTTCATACCTCTCTCTCTATCTGTTCATACCTCTCTATCTCTTCATACCTCTCTGTCTATCTCTTCATACCTCTCTCTATCTCGTCATACCTCTCTCTATCTCTTCATACCTCTCTCTATCTCTTCATACCTCTCTCTATCTCTTCATACCTCTCTCTATCTCTTCATACTTCTCTCTATCTCTTCATGCCTCTCTCTATCTCTTCATACCTCTCTCTATCTCTCTATACCTCTCTCTCTTCATACCTCTCTCTCTATCTGTTCATACCTCTCTATCTCTTCATACCCTCTGTCTATCTCTTCATACCTCTCTCTATCTCTTCATACCTCTCTCTATCTCTTCATACCTCTCTCTATCTCTTCATACCTCTCTCTATCTCTTCATATCTCTCCATATCTCTCTATACCTCTCTATCTCTCTCTATATACATACATCTATATCTCTGCATCTCTCTTTCTTGATAAATATCTCTCTCTGTCTCTGTCTCTGTCTCTCTCTCTCTCTCTCTCTCTCTCTCTCTATATATATATATATATATATATATATATATATATATACATATAGCACTTACTTCCCTTTGATAAATTAGGAAAACACAATTACTTGCCTTTATAAAACATTGGATTAGTGGAAAAGAATTTACTTTTTATTACTTTGTTTTGGTGTTGGGAAAAAAATAATTACACAATTAGCGGGGATTGATCAAGTGCAAATGTTGTAGGTATTTTACGGATAAGCTTGGAGTATTATAATTGTTCATTAGGTTTGGTTTGGCACCTACGTTCGTTTAAGTGAGTGCAAAAGACTATAAATAAATTGGGTACTATAGTTGTTTATTAAGCTGAAACAGGCGATTCTGCCCCGGGCTAGACTGTGAGCACTTTGCGTTTATGTTCGCGTTTGTGTTTTCTTTATGTTTAGGTTGGGTTTGCGTTAGTGGTTGCGTTTTGATTTGGTTCGTTTTTGTTCTTTCTTTTTTCGTTTTCGTTTGTGTTTTTTTCTTTGGGTTTGTGTTTGTGTTTGTGGTAGATTTTGCGTTTGGATTTGGATTGTTTTCGTTTTACTTTTTCGTTTGTTTTTTTCTTTGTATTCGTATTGGTGTTTGTGGTTGTGGTTGGGTTTGTTGTTAGGTTTTTGCTTTCGTTTGCTTTTTTGTTTGTTTTTTCTTTGTGTTTGTATTGGTCTTTGTGGTTGTGGTTGGGTTTGTTGTTAGGCTTTTGTTTTCGTTTGTATTTGTATTTGTAATTGTGTTAGCGTTATGTTTGCGTTTTGTTGTTTTGGTTTTGGTTGGTTGTGGTTTGGGTGGGCAGTGCCGGGTTTATGATGATTAATAAACAAACAGGTAATGGTCTTTAACAGAAAGGTTTTTCACAGAAGCCAGAGCAGGGCCCGGCCGGGACGGCTAGTATATATATATATATGTATATATATATATATATATATATATATATATATATATATATATATATATATATATATATATATATATATATATATATATATATATATATATCTGCCTCTTTAATTGGTCAACAGATCACGCATGGCGGTAACACGTGATATTACTGGTGTCTAAAAATAGATTAATGTTTACAAACAATTCACAGCTGTCAGAGTGGACAAAAAATAAAAATAAACATTTACAGTTCACACCCCCCTCCCACACACCAAGTGTTGAATAATGTAAACACAACTGTAATGACCGCTATTTGAATTGTTCTCCTCCCCCCCCCCCCCCCCACAGATCAGCTCACACATTAATTGGGTCAAGTTACGTCAGGATTTACGCTTGTGTTCACGTGACTTCAGTGGCGACCAATAAGATCATCTACTATCAGGTCATGCAGGGTAAGCCCCGCCCATTTCAATTGGGTTGTCATATAATTAAGGAAGATTGTCGTGTAATTCAGTAAGATTGTCATGAAATTAAGTAAGATTGTCATGTAAAACTTATTTCTCTTGAGAGAATCCCAACAACCCAAACAATCCAAAAAAAACAAAGAAAAAAAAACAATCCAAACGAACAATCCAAACAATATACGGTAGACAATCATTGCTACAATCTTCCCCCCCCCCTTCCACAGAGAAAGACCCGACCCTCCAGGATTACGTCACAACTCTCAACGCTGCCGTGTCAGTTGATTACGTCACTGACATCTGCACGGCGCCACTGCCGTACGACGCGGCACTACACAGCGTGCTCATCAGATCAGGTGTGTCAATGTGTGTTTTAGGTCAGATGAGTTGTGTTGCTGTGTTATAGGTCAGTTGCTGTGAGGGTCAACACACGTTTTAGGCCAAAACCTATTGGAGATAGGACTAACATGGACATTTTGTCCTCGCGTAGGACTAACTAAGACATTTTGCCCTCATGTAGGACTAACTACGACATTTCCTCCGACAGGTCACCTGACCGAGGCCGCGGTCAACTGCCCAGGTGTGTTTGAGGCCATGTACAACACATCCAACCCACAGTGCGACTACACACTGACCACATGTTTTCACAAGACGGTCATCAAACTCTCTAACACAGCGTGTCAAACTAGACCTTTTTATTCGGGTAGGTCAGTCCTAGGTCACCTAGTAGGTCAGTCATAGGTCACCTGGTAGGTCAGTCATAGGTCACCTGGTAGGTCAGTCATAGGTCACCTGGTAGGTCAGTCATAGGTCAATCGGTTGGTACTTAGGTCACCTGGTAGGTCTGTCATAGGTCACCTGGTAGGTCAGTCATAGGTCACCTGGTAGGTCTGTCATAGGTCAATCGGTTGGTACTTAGGTCACCTGGTAGGTCTGTCATAGGTCACCTGGTAGGTCTGTCATAGGTCACCTGGTAGATCCATATTAGGTCACCTGGCAGGTCTGTCATAGGTCACCTGGTAGGTCAGTCATATGTCACCTGTTAGGTCTGACCTCGCCAAAATTTCTGTAACACAAAGTGTTCCCCAGCTGGCGGTGCCATGACCTGCATCTACAACGTCACTTCCGGGTCACGTAACTACCTGACCCTCCTCAACAACGATGACGTCACAGACAACAACGTCACCTACCAGTTTGTCTGTCTGGTAAGTTCCGGTTTTATTATCTCAACAGCTAATTCTCTCTAATCAAATTATAGTGTTAGCTAATGATCTCTAATCTAATTATATTATTAGTTAATGGTCTCTAACAATATTACATTATTAGCTACTGATCTGGAATCTATTTTATTTTTAGTTAATGATCTCTAATCTAATTACATTATTAGCTAATGATCTCCGGTGTCTGTCATTTAAATTAATGACAGCTCTAGAAATTTTTATTTAGATAATTTAATTAGCCAGAGAAAAGTGTACGTCATATAGTGTCTTTTGTACCTCATATATTGTTTTTTGTACATCATACCGTGTCTTTGTCTCCTCCCCCACCCACAGGCCTACGAGGTGTCTGGTCAAACTCTGCGCTTCACCGAGTCACCCAGAGGATGTGACGTCAACCAATCAGCTGATGGGGTCTCGGGGTTCACCTACATCCACATAGGTGAGCTCTTAGGGGTCATCAAATGTAGGGGTCATGACTTAAAGGGGTCGACAGATGTGGGGAGGGAATATGTACAAAAAGTTCCTAGAAATTAGACTTTAAAAAGTTGTATGGTTAGCTAATTGTTTCATCTAATTACAGATTTTTAATTTTTTTCTCCAGGTTCTTGTCGTAAGTAAAGTCTATTTCTCTAAAGTCTATTTGTGTGTAAAGTCTATTTTTGTGTAAAGTCCATTTGTGTAAAGTCCATTTGTGTGTAAAGTCCATTTGTGTAAAGTCCATTTCTGTGTAAAGTCTATTTTTGTGTAGTCTATTTTTGTGTAAAGTCTATTTGTGTAAAGTCTATTTGTGTAAAGTCTATTTGTGTGTAAAGTCTATTTTTGTGTAGTCTATTTGTGTGTAAAGTCTATTTTTGTGTAAAGTCCATTTGTGTAAAGTCCATTTGTGTGTAAAGTCCATTTGTGTAAAGTCCATTTCTGTGTAAAGTCTATTTTTGTGTAGTCTATTTTTGTGTAAAGTCTATTTGTGTAAAGTCTATTTGTGTAAAGTCTATTTGTGTGTAAAGTCTATTTTTGTGTAGTCTATTTTTGTGTAAAGTCTATTTACGTGTAATTTATAACTTGGCCATTAGAGATACAAGCGTGTGTGTGTGTGTGGGGGGGGGGGGGGGGGTTATTTAAAGTAGTCCTTGTATGTTGTTACTGTTTCGTCACTGTGTCGTCACCGTGACGTCACACTTTGTACATTCTCCCAGCCTGACAGTTCAACACACGTGTGCTAATTACTTGTCGTGACGTGTAGATTGGCTTGAGTAATTGACATGTTGTGAATTTCATGACATTAACGGCTAATGAACTTTTGCAGCTGTGGATGAAATTAATTGGGTCATCATCGTGTCAGTGATTGCCGCTGTCGTCGTGTTGGTCATCATACTGTGTCTGCTCTGGTACTGTCTGCGGGGTAGACGGTGTCTTCGGCGGCTGAGGAAGGCGAGGGATGATGAGGAGAGAATTGCCGGCAGGGGAGGGGACGATGGTGACGATCGGAGAGAGGGAGGAGGTGGGAGGGATGAGGAACAATTAAAGGGAGGGTGGAGGGAGTTGGTTGGGAAGGGAGGGGCGGGGTACATGGACATTTTCACCACGTCTGTAGACAAGGCCCCAGAAATTCGACTTTTGAAAAGGTCCAAGTTTAAATTTACGCATGAGCAGCCGAAACCGGAAGTGGGAGAGGGGGAGAATGACGTCACAGATGAGATCGACAGGAGACAGGATGTTGACAACGAAAGAGATGAAGGTGACGATGAAATGAAGGAGACTGATGGTGTCGTGAGAGGAAGTGCTACAGCTACTGTAAGTTTTTTTTTGGTTGGGGTAACTTAAGACGGCGTTCAGTGTTTCTTCCAGACTTTTTTCTCCGGGGGGGGGGGGCACTTGAAATCTTCGGGGGGGGGGGGCGGTAAACTTTCTTCGGGGGGGCGGACACTGTTAAAAGTATATATTTTCTATATAAATTATATAAATTTCATTTCGTTCGGGGGGGCGGTAAAAAATTTTCGGGGGGGCTTTGCCCCCCCCCCCCGAAGAGATGTCTGGAAGAAACTCTGACGGCGTTAGAACTTAAATCTAGAACATAGATCTAGTACATATAATTAGAACATAGATCTAGAACATAGATTTAGAACATAGAGTTGTACATAGAAAATCTAGATCTAGATCATAGATCCAGCACTGGTATATTTAGCCACTCTAGTTTAGTTCAAGCGAGAGGCTATGTTGGACTTCCTGTCTAGACAGATCTATGTTCTATGTTCTATGTTCTAGATCTATGTATCAGATCCAAAATATTTCAGGTTAAAAGAAAGAAGGGGAGGCGACGAAAACGTCATCAATCTGGTGGAAGGTCTAAGACTGAGGTGAGTCTTGTGGTAGGTTTACAGGTGAGTCGTGTTAGGTTTAGATCTACAATTGCCTGATGAACTACACTTGTCAACTGCTAGTGCTGCCTACTTGATCCATTGATAGATTCTTACGTCACCACCTTTGGATTTTTTGTTTACAAATGTCAAGGTCGACGGCAGCGACAGCAGCCATGACGTCACAGACGACAGTTCCGGTTCCGGTGAATCGACCGGTGAGTCGACCGGTGGGACGACCGGTGGGACGACCGGCCGAGGGTCTGACGAGGGCTTTCAAACAGACAGCAGTGGCACCACTGGGTCCGGCTCGGGTTCCAGGACAAGATCTCACCTGGGCTCTGGAACTGACCAGGACTCAGACACCAACAGCGATGACAGCGAGGTGAGTACTTGTTTGTGTCCAGCAGTGATAGACGGTACTCTTGATATTTTTCTTAGCGCATATATTCCATTGAATCCAAACTTGTAGTCAAATTTTGGCGTATTTTAAATGGGGCGAAATATTTTTCTGTGCAGGCAACTGATTTACTTTCACTACTGTCTTACATCGAGTTACTGCCCCTGCTGTCTTACATCGAGTTACTGCCCCTGCTGTCTTACATCGAGTTACTGTCCCTGCTGTCTTACATCGAGTTACTGCCCCTGCTCTTACATCGAGTTACTGCCCCTGCTGTCTTACATCGAGTTACTGCCCCTGCTGTCTTACATCGAGTTACTGTCCCTGCTGTCTTACATCGAGTTACTGTCCCTGCTGTCTTACATCGAGTTACTGCCCCTGCTGTCTTACATCGAGTTACTGCCCTTGCTGTCTTACATCGAGTTACTGCCCTTGCTGTCTTACATCGAGTTACTGCCCCTGCTGTCTTACATCGAGTTACTGCCCCTGCTGTCTTACATCGAGTTACTGGCCCTGCTGTCTTACATCGAGTTACTGCCCCTGCTGTCTTACATCGAGTTACTGGCCCTGCTGTCTTACATCGAGTTACTGCCCCTGCTGTCTTACATAGAGTTACTGCCCTTATGGGCTAACATCGAGTTACTGCCCCTGCTGTCTTACATCGAGTTACTGTCCCTGCTGTCTTACAGCGAGTTACTGCCCCTGCTGTCTTACATCGAGTTATTGCCCCTGCTGTCTTACATCGAGTTACTGTCCTTACAACCAACCCATGCGTTTCACTTTGATTTTCTCCCCGCATACAAACACCCCGTATTCTATTGGAACTGGGGCGGCCTTTTGAAATTATGTAAATCATGGCCCGACCCCACTGCCCGTGTATATCGTGATCTTACCCCAGGGTCAGTCCCATCAATAGATCGAACAGGGGGAGCGGTAGTAGAATCACTGGCTGGGGTCGTGTTAGGGATCGTGGCTGGGGTCGTGGCTGGGATCGCGCCTGTTAGCCGACTTTGTGCACATTGTCTCCCTACAGTTAGAGAAGTTGTTTGACGCCGTTAGCCATTCAATACTTAAATGTTTGGGGGGTGGGGATAGGGGGGGGGGGGTAAGTTGTTTCAGGAGACACTGTTGTCAGTCGTTCAAAACATTTTTATGTTACCACGTGTGTGGGGTTTGTGTGTGGGGTATGTGTGTGGGGTTTGTGTGTGGGGTGTGTGGGGGTTGTGTGTGGGGCTAGACCTCGTAAGATCTTGTAACAGTCAGTGGTCGTTCAGGACTCAGACTGTGTATGTGACTATATCTGGATGGTTTTTGTTAAACTAACCTAGAGGTTTAACCAGTGGTTAAACCAGGCTAGAGGTTTAGCCTGTCAAACGTCAGACATGTGGTAGTGCGCGGATTTAGCCGGAAAACAGGTGGGTTTTAAGCTTAACCTCAGACCTCAAATGTTTATTTGAAGGTTGAAGTTAAGTGTGAATTGTTTGCTCCGCAATGATATTAATTAAATCTTTTCCTAAATAAACGTCAAGTTTATATCATCTTTATGTAATGAAGCTAAAAAGACGCACGATAGATATAATCTTTTTATAATTTTGCCAAGTGCCACACAGAAAGTGATGAGATTTTTATAATTTTGCCAAGTGCTACACAGAAAGTGATGAGATTTTTATAATTTTCATTTCACTGATATTTTGGACACTTTGCAACGGCAACATCTCACTGATATTTTGGACACTTTGAAATCAATCAATTTAACTTTTGACGTAAAAAATCAGCAACCTGAAGAAAATAATGGCCTTTATCGCCTGCAGTATTGGAATTTGGATTTGATGAATTAAAATCTTAATCTTGTAGGACGCCAGACATTCACTGTTCATTTCACTTGGGAGCATTCGTATGCTAATGTGTCGCAATCAATATGCTATCGTCACGACACACTACGACACATTAAGACACACACTGTGTTGCTGGGGGCTTGGTGGCAAGTCTGTTGAAAATTTGCCAGATAAAATATGTTACCTTTGGGACATTTTAATTCCGTGTTGTCATGTAATCAGTAGGTAGGCCAAGATGGATAACGTGTAGTGGATAATCGATTGTAAGTAGCATTGAATGGATGCCATGAACCTTATACTTGATGTGTCATTTGTCATTCAGTTGGATATCATGGGGAGTAAATGACATACTGACGTTTTAAGTAGAATGATAATTATGACGTCATGAAACTGTGTTGTTTTGTCGAATGACGTCATTTCCGTATTTCTGACAGAGACGCGCTAAGATGATCATCGCTAGCCACTACCAGGCCAGGCTAGCTAAATCTTGGGAGCAGAGGGTCAACGACCCAACCTTAGTGCAGGTAAATATAGGGGTCAATGACCCCCACCTTAGTGTAGGTAAATATAGGGGTCAATGACCCCCACCTTAGTGTAGGTAAATATAGGGGTCAATGACCCCCACCTTAGTGTAGGTAAATATAGGGGTCAATGACCCCCACCTTAGTGCAGGTAAATATAGGGGTCAACGACCCCCACCTTAGTGCAGGTAAATATAGGGGTCAACGACCCCACCTTAGTGTAGGTAAATATAAGGGTCAATGACCCCCACCTTAGTGCAGGTAAATATAGGGGTCAACGACCCCACTTTAGTGCAGGTAAATATAGGGGTCAACGACCCCCACCTTAGTGCAGGTAAATATAGGGGTCAACGACCCCACTTTAGTGCAGGTAAATATAGGGGTCAACGACCCCCACCTTAGTGCAGGTAAATATAGGGGTCAACGACCCCACTTTAGTGCATGTATATATATGTATAGTTGTCAACTATCCCTCTCTGTGACTAGACAGCCCAGACTATTTTAAACTCTGCCACAGGACAAGACCAAGCCAAAGTTCCGGAAAGATCTGGAGGCAAGAGACGCCGTCACCAAAACTCTGACGTCATCCGGTGTGGGAATTTCCGTCGATCTGATGACGTCGATGAGAGCGGCGTTAGCCAGGGCAGGATGGGACAGAAAGAGAGGAACCAAGGGCAGGGGCGTGCTGGTGGGAATCAGGTGTGTTGTCAGTCAGGTTTGTTGTCAGGTGCGTTGTCAGGTGTGTTGTCAGGTGTGTTGTCAGTCAGGTGTGTTGTCAGTCAGGTGTGTTGTCAGTCAGGTGTGTTGTCAGTCAGGTGTGTTGTCAGTCAGGTGTGTTGTCAGTCAGGTGTGTTGTCAGTCAGGTGTGTTGTCAGTCAGGTGTGTTGTCAGTCAGGTGTGTTGTCAGTCAGGTGTGTTGTCAGGTGTGTTGTCAGTCAGGTGTGTTGTCAGTCAGGTGTGCTATATGTCAGTATTATCGGCATGACAAATATGTACACGATAAAAAGTCTGCGCAGATTGACTGCAGTACAAAACCTACAGTGGTCCACATCACATTGAACGTTGTGTCTTATCTTTGTACGTGGGACGTATGTTGGTTTTATCGTACGTGGGACGTATGTTGGTTTTATCGTACGTGGGTCGTATGTTGGTTTTATCGTACGTGGGTCGTATGTTGGTTTTATCGTACGTGGGACGTATGTTGGTTTTATCGTACGCGGGTCGTATGTTGGTTTTATCGTACGTGGGACGTATGTTGGTTTTATCGTACGCGGGTCGTATGTTGGTTTTATCGTACATGGGACGTATGTTGGTTTTATCGTACGTGAGACGTATGTTGGTTTTATCGTACGTGAGACGTATGTTGGTTTTATCGTACATGGGACGTATGTTGGTTTTATCGTACGTGAGACGTATGTTGGTTTTATCGTACGTGAGACGTATGTTGGTTTTATCGTACGTGGGACGTATGTTGGTTTTATCGTACGTGAGACGTATGTTGGTTTTATCGTACGCGGGTCGTATGTTGGTTTTATCGTACATGGGACGTATGTTGGTTTTATCGTACGTGGGACGTATGTTGGTTTTATCGTACGTGAGACGTATGTTGGTTTTATCGTACATGGGACGTATGTTGGTTTTATCGTACGTGGGACGTATGTTGGTTTTATCGTACGTGGGACGTATATAGGTTTTATCGTACGTACGACGTATGTTGGTTTTATCGTACATGGGACGTATGTTGGTTTTATATTACGTACGACGTATGTTGGTTTTATCGTACGTGGGACGTATGTTGGTTTTATCGTACGTGGGACGTATGTTGGTTTTATCGTACGTGAGACGTATGTTGGTTTTATCGTACGCGGGTCGTATGTTGGTTTTATCGTACATGGGACGTATGTTGGTTTTATCGTACGTGGGACGTATGTTGGTTTTATCGTACGTGAGACGTATGTTGGTTTTATCGTACATGGGACGTATGTTGGTTTTATCGTACGTGGGACGTATGTTGGTTTTATCGTACGTGGGACGTATATAGGTTTTATCGTACGTACGACGTATGTTGGTTTTATCGTACATGGGACGTATGTTGGTTTTATCGTACATGGGACGTATGTTGGTTTTATCGTACGTGGGACGTATGTTGGTTTTATCGTACGTGGGACGTATATAGGTTTTATCGTACGTACGACGTATGTTGGTTTTATCGTACATGGGACGTATGTTGGTTTTATCGTACGTACGACGTATGTTGGTTTTATCGTACGTGAGACGTATGTTGGTTTTATCGTACGTGAGACGTATGTTGGTTTTATCGTACGTGAGACGTATGTTGGTTTTATCGTACGTGGGACGTATGTTGGTTTTATCGTACATGGGACGTATATAGGTTTTATCGTACGTACGACGTATGTTGGTTTTATCGTACGTCGGTCGTATGTTGGTTTTATCGTACGTGGGACGTATGTTGGTTTTATCGTACGTGGTACGTATGTTGGTTTTATCGTACATGGGACGTATGTTGGTTTTATCGTACGTACGACGTATGTTGGTTTTATCGTACGTCGGTCGTATGTTGGTTTTATCGTACGTGTGACGTATGTTGGTTTTATCGTACGTGAGACGTATATTGGTTTTATCGTACGTACGACGTATGTTGGTTTTATCGTACGTGGGACGTATGTTGGTTTTATCGTACGTGAGACGTATGTTGGTTTTATCGTACGTGGGTCGTATGTTGGTTTTATCGTACGTGGGACGTATGTTGGTTATATCGTACGTTGGTTTTATCGTACGTGGGTCGTATGTTGGTTTTATCGTATGTTGGTTTTATCGTACGTGGGTCGTATGTTGGTTTTATCGTATGTTGGTTTTATCGTACGTCGTCGTATGTTGGTTTTATCGTACGTTGGTTTTATCGTACGTGAGACGTATGTTGGTTTTATCGTACGTGGGTCGTATGTTGGTTTTATCGTACGTGGGACGTATGTTGGTTTTATCGTACGTTGGTTTTATCGTACGCGGGTCGTATGTTGGTTTTATCGTACGTGGGTCGTATGTTGGTTTTATCGTACGTGAGACGTATGTTGGTTTTATCGTACGTGGGACGTATGTTGGTTTTATCGTACGTGAGACGTATGTTGGTTTTATCGTACGTGGGACGTATGTTAGTTTTATCGTACGTGAGACGTATGTTGGTTTTATCGTACGTGGGATGTATGTTGGTTTTATCGTACGTGAGACGCATGTTGGTTTTATCGTACGTGGGACGTATGTTGGTTTATCGTACGTGGGACGTATGTTGGTTTTATCGTACGTTGGTTTTATCGTACGCGGGTCGTATGTTGGTTTTATCGTACGTGGGTCGTATGTTGGTTTTATCGTACGTGAGACGTATGTTGGTTTTATCGTACGTGTGACGTATGTTGGTTTTATCGTACGTGGGACGTATTTTGGTTTTATCGTACGAGGGACGTATGTTGGTTTTATCGTACGTGGGACGTATGTTGGTTTTATCGTACGTGGGTCGTATGTTGGTTTTAAGACGTCCTAATTTTTGATGAACGTATGTTATTGTCCGCGTGTTGTCCATATATGTGTGTTGTGTATGTCTGTTTGTGAACGTCTCAGCGTGATGATTGAGCCACATATTTTTATCTCCCCACCCCCATTCAGCGACAAGAAAGTCCACCCTCTGGATCACAGGAGCCGTCACCCCGGGGGTAGTGAGCCCGGGGGGTCTGCAGACATCCCATATTTCTCCCAGTATCAGCACTACACGACAGCCAGACAACAGCTACAGGAGCAGGGAGTGTTGGACAGTCGGGGGGAGGGGAGGTTTAGGACATCAGAGGAGGAGTTTGTGAGTAGGGGAGGGGAGGGGAGGAGTTTGTGAGTAGGGGAGGGGTGGGGGGAGTTTGTGAGTAGGGGAGGGAAGGAGTTTGTGAGTAGGGGAGGGGTGGGGGGAGTTTGTGAGTAGGGGAGGGGTGGTGGGAGTTTGTGAGTAGGGGAGGGGAGGGGGGAGTTTGTGAGTAGGGGAGGGGAGGAGTTTGTGAGTAGGGGAGGGGTGGGGGGAGTTTGTGAGTAGGGGAGGGGTGGTGGGAGTTTGTGAGTAGGGGAGGGGAGGGGGGAGTTTGTGAGTAGGGGAGGGGAGGAGTTTGTGAGTAGGGGAGGGGTGGGGGGAGTTTGTGAGTAGGGGAGGGGAGGAGTTTGTGAGTAGGGGAGGGGTGGGGGGAGTTTGTGAGTAGGGGAGGGGAGGAGTTTGTGAGTAGGGGAGGGGTGGGGGGAGTTTGTGAGTAGGGGAGGGGAGGAGTGTGAGTAGGGGAGGGGTGGGGGGAGTTTGTGAGTAGGGGAGGGGAGGAGTTTGTGAGTAGGGGAGGGGTGGGGGGAGTTTGTGAGTAGGGGAGGGGTGGGGGGAGTTTGTGAGTAGGGGAGGGGAGGAGTTTGTGAGTAGGGGAGGGGTGGGGGGAGTTTGTGAGTAGGGGAGGGGAGGAGTTTGTGAGTAGGGGAGGGGTGGGGGGAGTTTGTGAGTAGGGGAGGGGAGGAGTTTGTGAGTAGGGGAGGGGTGGGGGGAGTTTGTGAGTAGGGGAGGGGTGGGGGGAGTTTGTGAGTAGGGGAGGGGTGGGGGGAGTTTGTGAGTAGGGGAGGGGAGGAGTTTGTGAGTAGGGGAGGGGTGGGGGGAGTTTGTGAGTAGGGGAGGGGTGGGGGGAGTTTGTGAGTAGGGGAGGGGAGGAGTTTGTGAGTAGGGGAGGGGAGGGGAGGAGTTTGTGAGTCATGTTGGGGAGGTTCAGGAGAGGAGGACTTGGATATGGTATCGTTGTCACTCAATTCAACTTTGACCTTGACCTTTCAGAGGTTCAACGAGCTGGAGAACGAGCTCAAACAACACCAGGAACTGATGAAGTTGTCAGGGGCAGATAATGCTGGTGGTATGGTGAGTCAGGGGTTAGCAGGGGCAGATAATGCTGATGGCATGGTCAGTCAGGGGTAGAAGGGGCAGATAATGATGATGGCATGGTGAGTCAGGGGTTAGAAGGGGCAGATAATGATGGTGGTATGGTGAGTCAGGGGTTAGCAGGGGCAGATAATGGTGGTGGTATGGTGAGTCAGGGGTTAGCAGGGGCAGATAATGCTGGTGGTATGGTGAGTCAGGGGTTAGCAGGGGCAGATAATGCTGGTGGTATGGTGAGTCAGGGGTTAGCAGGGGCAGATAATGCTGATGGCATGGTCAGTCAGGGGTAGAAGGGGCAGATAATGATGATGGCATGGTGAGTCAGGGGTTAGAAGGGGCAGATAATGATGGTGGTATGGTGAGTCAGGGGTTAGCAGGGGCAGATAATGGTGGTGGTATGGTGAGTCAGGGGTTAGCAGGGGCAGATAATGCTGGTGGTATGGTGAGTCAGGGGTTAGCAGGGGCAGATAATGCTGGTGGTATGGTGAGTCAGGGGTTAGCAGGGGCAGATAATGCTGATGGCATGGTCAGTCAGGGGTAGAAGGGGCAGATAATGATGATGGCATGGTGAGTCAGGGGTTAGAAGGGGCAGATAATGATGGTGGTATGGTGAGTCAGGGGTTAGCAGGGGCAGATAATGGTGGTGGTATGGTGAGTCAGGGTTTAGCAGGGGCAGATAATGGTGGTGGTATGGTGAGTCAGGGTTTAGCAGGGGCAGATAATGCTGGTGGTATGGTGAGTCAGGGGTTAGCAGGGGCAGATAATGCTGGTGGTATGGTGAGTCAGGGGCAGATAATGCTGGTGGCATGGTGAGTCAGGGGTTTCCAATGAGGATGTGTTGTATCACGCTTGTAACATCAAAACTTAACACGGGATACTGTCCACAGACTTTGATGAAGTCGAGCCCAAATGTATCATCGACTGCTCCACACTCTACTGCCCTGAAGGCAGAGACCTCACTCACAGGAGAAGGGGCATTGGGAGGCATATTGGGCAGAAGGCAGACATTGGTGGGCGGGGCACAAGCAGGTCTACTGGGCAGAAGGCAGACACTAATAGGTGCCACATTGAATGACAAGGTAGCTATCACAACACAGCGAACCCCTTCAACTACCAGCCCCCCCCCCAATCTCACTCCCACTAACATCCCTAGTCCCACTACACCCACACTACCACCACCAGTCCTACCCCACTACCACCCCCACTACCAGTCCTACCCCACTACCACCCCCACTACCAGTCCTACCCCACTACCACCCCCACTACCAGTCCTACCCCACTACCACCCCCACTACCAGTCCTACCCCACTACCACCCCCACTACCAGTCCTACCCCACTACCACCCCCACTACCAGTCCTACCCCACTACCACCCCCACAACAAATTGAATGCCAGGATTTATGTCCGTGCTGATCTCTAGCAGCTAGACAATCCTAGTTAATCCTAAGCGACAATCCTCGTTAATCCTAAACGACAATCCTAGTTAATCCTAACTGATCGAACGCCAGCCAGCCGTCAATACCAAACTGAACAAGTTTCCCCGTGTGGGAGTCGAGTATTGGATCAACGTGGGGGGGGGGGGGGGGGTCGAGTCACGTGACGGGCTGGTGTTGAGGCTAGAGTCACGTGAACAGGACGTGTTGTTGTCGCGTTGATTTAATGTTGCTGCTGCTACTTGGATTTGGTTTTAGTCGTTTGAGTCACTTTTGTGTTCTTCATTTTGTCACTTGATTTTAATGTGTCAGTTATTTTATCAATCGTTCTCTGGAAGAAGTGAAATGTGTTGTACTTAAAAGAAAAATTCCGGCACAAAGCAACTACACAGACAGCAGAAATTAAAAAAAGAACAAGATTCTGTTATTTGGGAACATTTCTAGAAGTTTCTCATGTACCTCTCCATGCTCACGACGCACCCCACAGAGTCCCAACACTTGAAATGGTTTGGGACAAAGGAAGGTTCCAGCAAAACTTTTGTTGACTACGAGAGGCTGTTTTTTGGGAGGACAGAACACTCTGAGGCTGAGAGGGATGTTCTTATAACAGGGAGTGAATGTGTTATATCAGCTAGTGCTGATATAGCCCGTGGGGAGAGGGGAGGGAGGAAAGTGTTGGACAATACAAGCTCTTCTGCTGGATTGACTGTGAGTTGTTTTAAAAGAACGGTTTCCAAATGGATGGGCTTTAAACATGGAACAAAATGGAGTGTGTGGATTACCCGCTTTTTTGCGTTTAGTTTATCCACATCATCCATATGTGCTTTCTGGCGAGATCATATCGACAGTTTGTGTGTTATCTGTGTGTGTATGTGTAGTTGCGTCTAGCTGTGTAACTCTTGTTTTGACCTTTACCAGCAACCAGCTCTGGGCCTACAGAAGGACGAAGGTTCTAGACTGACTGAGAGACGTCAGACGCTTCTAGAAGGTCAGGACAGCACGGGGGAGGCTGGATCCAGACACAAGGTAACGTGGTGTGTCTCGGTGTGTCTTGGTGGTGTGTCTTGTGTCTTGGTGGTGTGTCTTGTTGGTGTGTCTTGTTGGTGTGTCTTGTTGGTGTGTCTTGTTGGTGTGTCTTGGTGGTGTGTCTTGGTGGTGTGTCTTTGTAAGTCTTAGTGTGTCTTGGTGGCTAGTCTTGGTGGTGTGTCGCGGTGTGTCTTGGTGTGCCTTGGTGGTGTGTCTTGGTCTTGTGTCTTGGTGTGGTTTGGTGGTGTGTCTTGTTGGTGTGTCTTTTTGGAGTGTCTTGTTGGTGTGTCTTGTTGGTGTGTCTTGGTGAGTCTTGGTGTGTCTTGGTGGTGTGTCGCGGTGTGTCGCGGTGTGTCCTGGTGTGTTTGCCATACTTTCTAGTCTTTGCCCTTGACCTAACTGTTGTCATGACGTCATCAGCACAGGAAACGTGTGAAGACAGCAGACAGAAGACAGCTCAACAAACTGTTGATTGGCGCTAGCATTGAGTCCAAAAACCAGAAGGGTCATGGGAGGTCAAGGCTGCGGCCTGGAGACATTAGCGTGCCGCTTGCACGTGTGGATGCACGTGCGGTTAAACTGAATAGACCTGCTCACACGGGCAAGGCTGACGTCAACTTCACGTCTGGCAGATGGTCGAAGGACGGTGATGGTACAACAGGCAAGGTGAGGCTAAACCCTGGTCAGGTTAAACCCTGGCACGCTCAGGTTAAATTCGAGGTCATGTTAAACCCTGGCAAGGTCAGGTTAAACCCTGGGCAAGGTCAGGTTAAACCCTGGGCAAGGTCAGGTTAAACCCTGGGCAAGGTCAGGTTAAACCCTGGGCAAGGTCAGGTTAAACCCTGGGCAAGGTCAGGTTAAATTCAAGGTCAGGTTAAACCCTGGCAATGCCGGGGTCAAACTTTTTTTTACTCCTGCTACAAACTCTTTATTTCCAGACCTTGTTGGTTGGGCCAGTTCCAGAACGGTCACCACCTGCAACAAACGGTCAACTTCCTGCCACAGGCGGTCAACTTCCTGCCACAGGCGGTCAACTTCCTGCCACAGGCGGTCAACTTCCTGCAACAGGCGGTCAACTACGTGCTACAGACGGTCAACTACGTGCAACAGACGGTCGACCATATGAAACAGTTGACGCATCAATCATGATGGAAGGACAGCACGAACTGACAGACGAACCAAGCACACAACTACACCAGTAAACGAATTATCATTATGTTTTTTTTTAGGAATTTCTATTAACAACTAGATAAGCAATAAACGTCTATTAGTCTTTAGTCGTGAGACCTATAGAGTTTCATTAGCCGCAATATGTACATTGAGACCTTGTGAAAACAATTGTCTTTGTTCTATGCAGACCTCAGGTTTTAGGTCCAATCAGACATGGGATGTTCAACAGATTATATCAGCCAACCAGAGCACAGAGGTCAAAGTTCAGCCAATCACAGGGAACCCTGGAGGGCATGAAGAGAGATAAGGCGTTTCTTCAGAGGATACAAAATGGACGTAAGTAGAGAGATAAGGCGTTTCTTCAGAGGATACAAAATGGCCGTAAGTCGTGTTCTCCATGTCTGAATCTGCTCTTGTGGTCAACACAATCTTAGAACACATAATGTTTGACCAACATAATGTTTGACCAACATAATGTTTGACCAACACAATATTTGACCAACATAATGTTTGACCAACATAATGTTTAACCAACATAATGTTTGACCAACATAATGTTTGACCAACACAATGTTTGACCAACATAATGTTTGACCAACACAATCTTAGAACACACAAATGTTTGACCAACATAATGTTTGACCAACATAATGTTTGACCAACATAATGTTTGACCAACACAATGTTTGACCAACATAATGTTTGACCGTTGACCAACATAATGTTTGACCAACACAATCTTAGAACACATAATGTTTGACCAGCACAATGTTTGACCAACATAATGTTTGACCAACACAATGTTTGACCAACATAATGTTTGACCAACACAATCTTAGAACACACAAATGTTTGACCAACATAATGTTTGACCATTATAATGTTTGACCAACATAATGTTTGACCAACATAATGTTTGACCAACACAATGTTTGACCAACATAATGTTTGACCGTTGACCAACATAATGTTTGACCAACACAATCTTAGAACACATAATGTTTGACCAGCACAATGTTTGACCAACATAATGTTTGACCAACACAATCTTAGAACACACAAATGTTTGACCAACATAATGTTTGACCGTTGACCAACATAATGTTTGACCAACGCAATGTTTGACCAACATAATGTTTGACCAACATAATGTTTGACCAACATAATGTTTGACCAACATAATGTTTGACCAAAATAATGTTTGACCAACATAATGTTTGACCAAAATAATGTTTGACCAACATAATGTTTGACCAACATAATGTTTGACCAACATAATGTTTGACCAACATAATGTTTGACCAACACAATGTTTGACCAACATAATGTTTGACCAACACAATCTTAGAACACATAATGTTTGACCAACACAATGTTTGACCAACATAATGTTTGACCAACATAATGTTTGACCAACACAATGTTTGACCAACACAATGTTTGACCAATGTTTGACCAACATAATGTTTGACCAACATAATGTTTGACCAACATAATGTTTGACCAACATAATGTTTGACCAACATAATGTTTGACCAACATAATGTTTGACCAACACAATGTTTGACCAACATAATGTTTGACCAACACAATCTTAGAACACATAATGTTTGACCAACACAATGTTTGACCAACATAATGTTTGACCAACATAATGTTTGACCAACACAATGTTTGACCAACACAATGTTTGACCAATGTTTGACCAACATAATGTTTGACCAACATAATGTTTGACCAACATAATGTTTGACCAACATAATGTTTGACCAACATAATGTTTGACCAACATAATGTTTGACCAACACAATGTTTGACCAACATAATGTTTGACCAACACAATCTTAGAACACATAATGTTTGACCAACATAATGTTTGACCAACATAATGTTTGACCAACATAATGTTTGACCAACACAATCTTAGAACACATAATGTTTGACCAACATAATGTTTGACCAACATAATGTTTGACCAACACAATGTTTGACCAACATAATGTTTGACCAACATAATGTTTGACCAACATAATGTTTGACCAACATAATGTTTGACCAACACAATCTTAGAACACACAAATGTTTGACCAACATAATGTTTGACCAACATAATGCTTGACCAACATAATGTTTGACCAACATAATGTTTGACCAACATAATGTTTGACCAACATAATGTTTGACCAACATACTGTTTGACCAACATAATGTTCGACCAACACAATGTTTGCCCATCACAATGTTTGACCAACATACTGTTTGACCAACATAATGTTCGACCAACACAATGTTTGACCAACACAATGTTTGACCAACACAATATTTGACCAACATAATGTTTGACCAACATAATGTTAAACCAACATGATGTTTGACCAACATAATGTTTAACCAACATAATGTTTGACCAACATAATGTTTGACCAACATAATGTTCGACCAACACAATGTTTCACCAACACAATGTTTGACCAACACAAATGTTTCCACCAATGTACAGGTCAAAATGGACAACCCCATTGGTCGTGGCAGGATGGTCGCTATGGTGATGGTCGCCATGGTGATGGTCGAAATATGGCCAGCCATGAAGGGGAGGGTCAGGTATGTCTATGTTAGTGTGTCTATGTTGGTGTGTCTATGTTGGTGTGTCTAGGATAGTGGGTCAGTTTTTATGTGTCAATGCCTCTGTTTAAAGTTAATGTTATAGTGCCACAATTTTTGGTTCCAAATATTGATGTAAATGTATATGGTAGTCACGTGTGTAGTCTGACGTCAATGACTGTCTCGAGAAGAATTGCCCCCCCCCTCCCCCACAGAAAAACGTCTCCCATCTCACCTATGGTGTGTGTGGACAGGTGGTTGCTATGCAGCTAGATGGGTGGGGCACAGAAACACACACACACACCGACACACCTGTAGACCACGTGACACACACACACACACACACAGACCTACACACGTGTAGACCACGTGACACACACAGACCTACACACGTGTAGACCACGTGACACACACAGACCTACACACGTGTAGACCACGTGACACACACAGACCTACACACGTGTAGATCACGTGACACACACAGACCTACACACGTGTAGACCACGTGACACACACAGACCTACACATGTGTAGACCACGTGACACACACAGACCTACACACGTGTAGATCACGTGACACACACAGACCTACACACGTGTAGACCACGTGACACACACAGACCTACACACGTGTAGTTCTGAAGGTCTCCACATGGTGTAGGGACAAGTTTTAAGATTCCCCAAACTTTGACTGAATGTCTCCACATGCTGTAGGGACAAGTTTTAAGATTCCCCAAACTTTGACTGAATGTCTCCACATGCTGTAGGGACAAGTTTTAAGATTCCCCAAACTTTGACTGAATGTCTCCACATGCTGTAGGGACAAGTTTTAAGATTCCCCAAACTTTGACTGAATGTCTCCACATGCTGTAGGGACAAGTTTTAACATTCCCCAAACTTTGACTGAATGTCTCCACATGCTGTAGGGACAAGTTTTAACATTCCCCAAACTTTGATCCCAGGACTTGGGGCAGGCAGCACCCACTGCGCCCGGGGGTCGGGCTCTAGCCTGGAGCTACAACATGCCGGGTCAGAAGACTAGCGACTCGACCACGCAGGCCAGCCAGTTCTGGGATCCTGTGTTCAAATCCCAGCTGGACCAGATCGATGACCTCAAGTTGAGAAAACTTCTGGAGGAGTTGTACAGGGATAAAAAATACATGGACAAAATGATTGGCTCGCTCGGTAAGTCCGCTCATTGGTGGTTAGGTTTGCTAGCAGATGATTGGTGGGTTAGGTTTGCTAGCAGCTGATTGGTGGGTTAGGTTTGCTAGCAGCTGATTGGCTAGTTCTGTTATCGTAACGTTACGCGTCAAGTTTGTAGCTGTGTCCCACTTAATGTTTGGGTCAACTCAAGTCCCCTGGCTTTATGTTCTTGAAACTTTTTAAACGTTCTGAGATTGTTAAGTCTGGAAATGTTCTAGACTCCCTGGGGTAGTGGGTTTATAAGGTGGATTTATGGGGTAGTGGGTTTATCCTTTGTGTGCAGCTTGTTTAATTTTGTTTATTTCAGTCTGTATTGAATAGTCCATTAAAATTAATTAAGATTTTAAAACGTTGTTAAAAGTGAGTACAGTGGATAACAGTGTTCTTGACTTAACTTTCCTAAACGTTGTTAGCAGTGAGTACAGTGGACAGCAATGTTCTTGATTTAACTTTCTTGCAGACGGCGCTGAGCAGGACGACATTCTCGGGTCTTTCGTGCAGGGTCGGGAATACCTGCTACAGCGGGCCCAGTTCTGGCTGGAGAGGGGGCCCCTCCCGCCCCGACCCCCGGCTACTGGCCTGGGGTTGAGACTATTGAATCAATCGTCGTTGTCTAGCAAAGTTGCTTCGATGGAGAGTGTCCGGCCATCGGAAAGTGTCCGTACAGTGGAAAGTGTCCGGCCATCGGAAAGTGTCCGGCCATCGGAAAGTGTCCGGCCAGTGGAAAGTGTCCGTACAGTGGAAAGTGTCCGGCCATCGGAAAGTGTCCGGCCAGTGGAAAGCGTCCGGCCAGTGGAAAGTGTCCGGCTGGAAAACAGCAACACCTCCCAACCCAGATCGAAACTGGTGGATGCTCATGACTCAGACGAGAGAGACCCATCACAAAGTAAACCAGGTCACAAACTCAACCATCCCTCAGACCACCGTTATGACAACCATGCTGACAACCATCAGGACAACCAGCCTGACAACCCTAAAGATGAAACCGCTAAAAGCTCGGGCCTTGCAAACCACCAAGAAGAAGAAAAGAAAAGGGGCGATCACTCTCATGAATCAGATGAAATAAAGGGCGATCACTCTCATGAATCACATGAAATAAAGGGCGATCACTCTCATGAATCAGATGAAATAAAAAGCGATCACTCTCATGAATCACATGAAATAAAGGGCGATCACTCTCATGAATCAGATGAAATAAAAAGCGATCACTCTCATGAATCACATGAAATAAAGGGCGATCACTCTCATGAATCACATGAAATAAAGGGCGATCACTCTCATGAATCACATGAAATAAAGGGCGATCAACACGACACAAGGCCCAATGGTCAGGCGCTAGCGACTCTACCATAGACGACTACAACCATTTTCTTCCAAAACTAAAACTTTTTTTTGTTTTTTTTTTTGAGTGCGCATCAGGTCACAGCGTAGGTCAGTGTTAAAAACATGGTGACCAGATGTGTGGGGGAAGGAGAGGACATCTATGTGTGTGTGTGGGGGGGGGGGGGCTGTATGTGTGGGGGAGTGGGTTGTGGTGACTGAGTTACGAATGGTTTGTAACGACAAGTGTACGTGTGTGTGTGTGGGGGGGGGGGTAGGTTGGACTGAGGTATTTGTATAAAGCTGTTGTTAGTGTTGTTGTACAGTGAAAATTTTGTTCGTGTTTTTAAAGTTTGCATTCAGTATTAGCTTTAGTGCCTACAAGTGACGTCATACCACCCAACAACTGACGTCATACCACCCAACAACTGACGTCATACAACCCAACTCTACAACTGACATCCAACAATTGCTGTAGAACATTCAACAGCTTAATCTTAACAATACTGTGGATAATTGGACTTCCCTCCCCTTGATAGAGACTTATTGTCTAACATGTTTGCTGTCTGTGATAGATGACATGAGCTTATGCCAATCAGTTTTCTCAACCACAACTGAATAAAAAGTTGTGATAATTAACGTGAACCAGGTGTGATAATTAACGTAGCCCAACCTGTCACGTCACTGCTGTTGTTTGAACTGTCACTTGTTGCCCAAATGTGTCTGTCAGTCAACAGAAACTGTCATGGATTTTTCAAACTTCAAAATAAAATGTTCACATTTAACCGCATTGATACAATATTTTTATTCAACATTATTTAGGCGACAGATAAAAAATGTAATCAGTAAGATGATGTAGACCAAACATGTCAATAAAATTATGCCAGCATACAACATTTTCAATGATGTTTATAAATTGACGACAAAATTTTAAAATGTTGGCAGTCAAAATAAATGCTTTTGAAATTATGTTGACCCTTACATGGTTTATGAAATGATGTTGACACTAAAATGGTTTATGAAATGATGTTGACACTAAAATAGTTTATGAAATGATGTTGACACTAAAATGGTTTATAAAATGATGTTGACACTAAAATAGTTTATGAAATGATGTTGACACTAAAATGGTTTATAAAATGATGTTGACACTAAAATAGTTTATGAAATGATGTTGACACTAATATGGTTTATGAAATGATGTTGACACTAAAATAATTTATGAAATGATGTTGACACTAAAATAGTTTATGAAATGATGTTGACACTACAATAGTTTATGAAATGATGTTGACACTAAAATGGTTTATGAAATGATGTTGACACTAAAATAGTTTATGAAATGATGTTGACACTAAAATGGTTTATGAAATGATGTTGACACTAAAATAGTTTATGAAATGATGTTGACACTAAAATGGTTTATGAAATGATGTTGACACTAAAATAGTTTATGAAATGATGTTGACACTAATATGGTTTATGAAATGATGTTGACACTAATATGGTTTATGAAATGCTGCTGACATTTTCAAGTAAAATCAAAATCTTGAAAGATCTGATGCGTTTGCCGACCCGCAGCCAAATATAAATAAAAAACATTTTCTTTATAAAAGTAAAAAAAAAAAATTGACACAATGACATCAGCTAATTGGGCTGCATAATTTGGTGATTCACAACATACAGTTCATAAACACCATAATGTAGCTTCTACAACTGGACGACATACCAGAACTATACACAGTAAAACATACCAAAAGTGTACACAGTAAAACATACCAAAAGTATACACAGTAAAACATACTAAAAGTATACATAGTAAAACATACCAAAAGTATACACAGGAAAACATATTAGAACTATACACAGTAAAACATACGAAAAGTGTACACAGTAAAACATACCAAAAGTATACACAGTAAAACATACTAAAAGTATACACAGTAAAACATACCAAAAGTATACACAGGAAAACATATTAGAACTATACACAGTAAAACATACCAAAAGTATACACAGTAAAACATATCAAAAGTATACACAGGAAAACATACCAGAACTATACACAGTAAAACATACCAAAAGTATACACAGTAAAACATACCAAAAGTATACACAGTAAAACATACCAAATGTATACATAGGAAAACATACCAAAAGTATACACAGGACAACATACCAAAAGTATACAGAGAGAAACATACCAAAAGTATACAGAGATCAACTCACTAGCAGACTTTTTGGGCAACATACCATAATTACATGTATGGGAACATCTCAGAAGGGCTACATATTAGAAGAATGTTTTATAAAAGAACATTCACAATTTATATTCAAATAGATTATAGTTGGCACCAACACAAGTATTTTGAGCTGCCTATGGTTCTATTTATAGCTAAGATGATGTGTACCAATCACCTGATTTATGTCTATGTTGCTGCATAAATTACGTGATGTGGTACTGCCCAGGGTTCAATCATTGACTTCAACAATCATTGACTTCAATCATGACTTCACCAATCATTGACCTCCCCAATCATTGACCTCACCAATCATTGACCTCACCAATCATTGCCCTAACCAATCATTGACCTCACCAATCATTGACCTAACCAATCACTGACTTCACCAATCACTGACTTCAATCATGACTTCACCAATCATGACAGCAAGTTAAACAATCTTGTCCACTTTGTGGCTAACCACAATCACCGGTCAAGTTACACAACATAGGGCCACATGAGGTCAACATGACACCACACATGGACCCCCTCCCCTCGCCCCTCCCCCCTAAGGCAGGAACATGACCCGGCACTTGAGGATGATCCTGTCGTCCCGGATGTACTGCCGCTGCCGGATCATGTCGTGGGAGACGAACTCGATGAGACCCCAGCAGTCGCTCTCGGCGTCAGCCACCCCACACGGCTTCGTGTACTGGAACTGGTTCCCGCCGGCCTTCAGGGAATCGCTGTGGTTCCCTGGGGAACAGAAGTATATTTATTTGTATGTGTACCAACGGGGTTGTGTGTGTGTGAACACTTTACATTAAAGTAAGAAATCCACTGCTAGACAACACATTACGATAGAAACCCTCCAATCAAAAGTGCCGTGAGTGCATACAGCGAGTAAAACGTTACCTGATTGGTTGACGAGGATGACAACAAACTGCAAGTTGACTGGCCACTTCAAATGACGGTCAAAGTCGCCTTTTAAGATCCGCAGGAACACGGACATGCACCTGTTAGTGGCGGTACCGTTTCCGTTCAGGTAGGCTTCCATTTGGGCCCTGCTCAACACAGAGGGTGGGGCGGGGGGGGGGGGGGAGGTTAGAACATAGTAGCACCATTTACGTAGCAAGGGTTGGGTTATTAAAACATTGTAGTACCATTCACGTAGAACATTTTGAAATTTTGTTAGAGAACATATTTTCTTGTAAAAGTTCACACACGTGACCAGTCACCACTCACGTGACCAGTCACCACTCACGTGACCAGTCACCACTCACGTGACCAGTCACCACTCACGTGACCAGTCACCACTCACGTGTCCAGTCACCACTCACGTGTCCAGTCACCACTCACGTGTCCAGTCACCACTCACGTGACCAGTCACCACTCACGTGACCAGCCACCACTCACGTGACCAGCCACCACTCACGTGACCAGCCACCACTCACGTGACCAGCCACCACTCACGTCACCACTCACGTGACCAGTCACCACTCACGTCACCACTCACGTGACCAGTCACCACTCACGTGACCAGCCACCACTCACGTGACCAGTCACCACTCACGTGACCAGTCACCACTCACGTGTCCAGTCACCACTCACGTCACCACTCACGTGACCAGTCACCACTCACGTGACCAGCCACCACTCACGTGACCAGTCACCACTCACGTCACCACTCACGTGACCAGTCACCACTCACGTCACCACTCACGTGACCAGTCACCACTCACGTGTCCAGTCACCACTCACGTGACCAGTCACCACTCACGTGACCAGTCACCACTCACGTGACCAGTCACCACTCACGTGTCCAGTCACCACTCACGTGACCAGCCACCACTCACGTGACCAGTCACCACTCACGTCACCACTCACGTGACCAGTCACCACTCACGTCACCACTCACGTGACCAGTCACCACTCACGTGTCCAGTCACCACTCACGTGACCAGTCACCACTCACGTGACCAGTCACCACTCACGTGACCAGTCACCACTCACGTGACCAGTCACCACTCACGTGATCAGTCACCACTCACGTGACCAGCCACCACTCACGTGTCCAGTCACCACTCACGTGACCAGTCACCACTCACGTGACCAGTCACCACTCACGTCACCACTCACGTGTCCAGTCACCACTCACGTGACCAGTCACCACTCACGTGACCAGTCACCACTCACGTGACCAGTCACCACTCACGTGACCAGTCACCACTCACGTGACCAGTCACCACTCACGTCACCACTCACGTGACCAGTCACCACTCACGTGACCAGTCACCACTCACGTGACCAGCCACCACTCACGTGACCAGTCACCACTCACGTCACCACTCACGTGTCCAGTCACCACTCACGTGACCAGCCACCACTCACGTGACCAGTCACCACTCACGTGACCAGTCACCACTCACGTGACCAGCCACCACTCACGTGTCCACTGACCTGTAGCCACAGTGGCTGAGGTAGAAGGGGCTGGAAGATTCCTTGAGCCCACGGATCTGCTCGTCCCTCAGTTTCTTGGAGTAGTCGGTGATGGTCCACCTGAAGGTGATCTCCACGGGGCGGATCTCCTGGGGGACGATGGGGAGGGGCAGGGGAGAGGTGGGTCGACCTGGGGACAGACATGGACAGTAGACAACACTTGACACAGCTGGGGCAGTAGACAACACTTGACACAGCTGGGGCAGTAGACAACACTTGACACAGCTGGGGCAGTAGACAACACTTGACACAGCTGGGGCATTGTGTTATTTGAGGACTGGGATGGTAAGGTTCATGACAAGTCTGGTGACAACTTTAATGACAAGTCTGATGACAACATTAGTGACAAGTCTGATGACAACTTAAATGACAAGTCTGATGACAACTTAATTAACTGATGAGAACTGACCTGCTACAAACTTGGAACGGTTCTCAGGTTCTGGTGTCAGCCCCACTTTATCCAGACGACCCTCAGACTTGGCAGACTTCATCTGGGAGCAGGGAAGGGGCGGGGTCATGCCGAATGGGGGCGAGGTCATTCCAAACGGGGGCGAGGTCATGCCAAATGGGGGCGGGATCATGCCGAACGGAGGCGGGGTCTGTCCGAAGTGGGGTCTGGTTGGTTTGGCTGAAAGCTGCTCTTCTAGTTCTGAGATCTGGAATTGTTTAGATGGACATGTGCAGGGTTAAATGGATCTACAATCTTTAGACCTACAATCTTTAGACCTACAATCTTTACACCTACAATCTTTACACCTACAATCTTTACACCTACAATCTTTAGACCTACAATCTTTAGACCTACAATCTTTAGACCTACAATCTTTACACCTACAATCTTTACACCTACAATCTTTAGACCTACAATCTTTAGACCTACAATCTTTAGACCTACAATCTTTAGACCTACAATCTTTACACCTACAATCTTTAGACCTACAACCTTTAGACCTACAACCTTTAGACCTACAATCTTTAGACCTACAATCTTTAGACCTACAATCTTTAGACCTACAATCTTTAGACCTACAATCTTTAGACCTACAATCTTTAGACCTACAATCTTTAGACCTACAATCTTTAGACCTACAATCTTTAGACCTACAATCTTTAGACCTACAATCTTTAGACCTACAATCTTTAGACCTACAATCTTTAGACCTACAATCTTTAGACCTACAATCTTTAGACCTACAATCTTTAGACCTACAATCTTTACACCTACAATCTTTAGACCTACAATCTTTACACCTACAATCTTTAGACCTACAATCTTTAGACCTACAATCTTTAGACCTACAATCTTTAGACCTACAATCTTTAGACCTACAATCTTTACACCTACAATCTTTAGACCTACAATCTTTACACCTACAATCTTTAGACCTACAATCTTTAAACCTACAACCTTTAGACCTACAACCTTTAGACCTACAATCTTTAGACCTACAATCTTTAGACCTACAATCTTTAGACCTACAATCTTTACACCTACAATCTTTAGACCTACAATCTTTACACCTACAATCTTTAGACCTACAATCTTTAAACCTACAACCTTTAGACCTACAACCTTTAGACCTACAATCTTTAGACCTACAATCTTTAGACCTACAATCTTTACACCTACAACCTTTAGACCTACAACCTTTAGACCTACAACCTTTAGACCTACAATCTTTAGACCTACAATCTTTAGACCTACAATCTTTAGACCTACAATCTTTACACCTACAATCTTTAGACCTACAATCTTTACACCTACAATCTTTAGACCTACAATCATCACTGACCTTCTTCCTCAGCTTGATGTTCGTCTCCTTCAGCGAGCTAATCTCACTGAGAGCGATGGCGTCGTAGTAGCCGCCATCTTTCTTGGCGTGGCCCAGCACACTCTGGATGGTCTTGGTGGGGAAGTGGAGGCGGTGGAAGTTGGCGTAGAGCTGCTCCAGCTGCACATAGATGTGCTCCTCCGTGAACACGGCCTGGGCCTAAATATAGGGCACATAACGTCATCACAGGGGAGGGTGAGGTCATCGAACATGTACTGACAGTTGATCACGTGTCACCGTGATAGATCACGTGTGACTGTGATAGATCACGTTGTTGAACTAAACTTTGTTAGATACTAAAGCCACGTGATCAAGCACCAAAGCCAACACAAAATAAACAGAAACACCTAAAAGATCTAAGTTAGGACTATAAGAGCAAAATTTTTGTAAGTCACCAGAAAGATCTTGCCTGCCCCAAATTGACACCCCCTTAAACCAATCACCATTTACCCCCCCCCCCCCCCCTACCCGTGGTACCTGAACCAGAGAAAGATGAAAGATGTTGTTGTACCAGTGGACTGTTGCTGGCGTTAGCGTAACCGTGCGAAGGTTTCCTCAAGCGGTTGCTGTTGCGGATAGACTCGAGTCTCTTGTGGACACACGGCTGTGGAGATGGTCGAGACGTCAACAATCTACGGCTTCAATCATTCAAACAATCCACATCATCAGCTTCAATCATTCAAACAATTTACTTGATCATCTTCAATCATTCAAGCAATCAATGGCTTCAATCATTCAATCTACATCATCAGCTTCAATCATTCAAGCAATCTACAGCCTCAGCTTCAATCATTCAAGCAATATACAGCTTCAGCTTCAATCATTCAAGCAGTTTATAGGCTCTGCTTCTATCGTTCATACAATCTCAAATCTTAGCTTCACTCATTCAATCTACATCGTGAGCTTCAATCATTCAAACAATTTAATGAGCTACACATTTAAAAGCTTACCCCTTCCACGCAAGTCTCATCCCCAACACACCCAAACCCACGTCTCCCCCACCACACGTCTCGCCCACCCCATGTCTCCCCCACCCCACATCTCCCCCACCCCACGTCTCCCCCACCCCACGTCTCCCCCACCCCACGTCTCCCCCACCCCCCCCCCCCACGTCTCCCCCCACCCCGGCTACCTCCCGCTCCAACAGCTCCTTGAGATGCTTGTCGTGGTCCTCCTGTAGCTGTCGCATCCTCTCCTGCTCCTGCTTCAGGCTCTCGATGGTCCGGAGCAGTGACAGCTGGTCCACGGGGCTGATGTCGTCATCGCTCTCAGAACTGGAGCTGGACGAGCGGGAGAAGCTGATTGGGGGCTTAGCGATGGACCTGCGTGCTGGCACCAGCTGCTTGACCTCTGGAACAACAGCGCTAGGGTCAAACTTTTTAATTAACTCAAGTGTTTGAGAAAACACACCTTAGTATCTCACCTGCAAAACCACCCACCTGTGTGTAACACGTACCAACACCCACCTATACCACTACCCACCTGCAACACCACCCAGCTGTACTACAACCCACCTACACCACCCACCTGTACCGCCCATCGTGTGTCACCTATACACAATCCACATGTAACACCACCCACCTGTGTGTCCCTTGTACCACCACCCACCTCTACAACCCACCTGTGCCACAAACCAACCTGTACCAACACCCACCTGTTTGTCACCTGTGACACCACCCACCTTACTACCACCTACCTGTACTACAACCCATTTGTACTACAACCCATCTGTACCACCACCCACCTGTACCACCACCCACCTGCGTGTCACCTGTGTCACCACCCACCTGTACCACCACCCACCTGCGTGTCACCTGTGTCACCATCCACCTGTGTCACCACCCACCTGTGTCACGACCCACCTGTGTGTCACCCGTGTCACGACCCACCTGTGTGTCACCTGTACCACCACCCACCTGTGTGTCACCTGTATCACCACCCACCTGTGTGCCACCTGTGTTACCACCCACCTGTGTCACCACCCACCTGTGTCACCACCCACCTGTGTGTCACCGGTGTCACCACCCACCTGTGTCACCACCCACCTGTGTCACCACCCACCTGTGTCACCACCCACCTGTGTGTCACCTGTGTCACCACCCACCTGTGTCACCACCCACCTGTGTCACCACCCACCTGTGTGTCACCTGTGTATCACCACCCACCTGTGTGTCACCTGTGTCACCACCCACCTGTGTCACCTGTGTCACCACCCACCTGTGTGTCATCTGTGTCACCACCCACCTGTGTGTCACCTGTGTCACCACCCACCTGTGTGTCACCTATGTCACCACCCACCTGTGTGTCACCTGTGTCACCACCCACCTGTGTCACCACCCACCTGTGTGTCACCTGTGTCACCACCCACCTGTGTGTCACCTGTGTCACCACCCACCTGTGTGTCACCTGTATCACCACCCACCTGTGTGTCACCTGTGTATCACCACCCACCTGTGTATCACCACCCACCTGTGTCACCACCCACCTGTGTGTCACCTGTATCACCACCCACCTGTGTGTCACCTGTATCACCACCCACCTGTGTGTCACCTGTATCACCACCCACCTGTGTGTCACCACCAACCTGTGTCACCACCCACCTGTGTGTCACCTGTATCACCACCCACCTGTGTGTCACCTGTATCACCACCCACCTGTGTATCACCACCCACCTGTGTCACCACCCACCTGTGTGTCACCTGTATCACCACCCACCTGTGTGTCACCTGTATCACCACCCACCTGTGTGTCACCTGTATCACCACCCACCTGTGTGTCACCACCCACCTGTGTGTCACCTGTGTGTCACCACCCACCTGTGTTATCCCGCAGAGAGTCGTAATCTGGCGGCCTCTCCTCGTACACCAGGGTGGCCAGTGGGCTGTCGAGTGGCGAGGACAGGTCTCTTGCTGCCTGCTTCAGCTGCAGGTAGGCAATAGATATAGGCAGGTAGGCAATAAACATAGGAAGGTAGGCAACAAATATAGGCAGGTAGGCAACAAATATAGGCAGGTAGGCAATAGATATAGGCAGGTAGGCAATAGATATAGGCAGGTAGGCAATCGATATAGGCAGGTAGGCAATAAGTATAGGCAGGTAGGCAACAAACATGGACAGGTAGGCAACAAACATGGGCAGGTAGGCAACAAAACCTTCGCCTGCGCTAGATGTCAAATAATGTGACAGGATGACAAATGAGGTAGATGACACATGATGTAATGACACACAAGGTAGACGACACGACATAAGTTAGATGACACATTACGTAGATGACACACTAGGTATATAAAACATGAGGTAGATGACACATAATGACAATGTAGGTATATGACAAATGATGTAAACGACACACGAGGTAGATGACACACGAGGTATGTGACACGTGACGTAGTTGATAGATGAGGTAGATGACACATGAGGTAGATGACACATGAGGTAGATGACACATGAGGTAGATGACACATGAAGTATATGACACACGAGGTAAGTGACATATGAAGTAAAGGACATATGAGGTAGATGAAGGATGAGATAGATGACACATGAGGTAGAAGAGATATGAGGTAAACGACACACGGAATATATGGCACATGAGGTAGATAACACATGGTGACACGAGTAGATGACACGTATAGATGACACATGGGGTAGATCACACATGAGATAGATGACACATGAAGTAGATGACACATGATGACACAAGTAGATGAAACGTGGGGTGGATGACACATGAGGTAGATGACATGATGACACGAGTAGATGAAACCTGGAGTAGATGACGATCTCACCTGAGACACGCCCCTATGTTACGTGAACCAACAACTTACCTGCGCGTCTTTGAATTCTTCCTTCAGTCTGTCGCCGTCCATCATGGGGTTGGTGTCTGGGATAGAAGGTGTATACACAAATTTAGGATAGAAGGTGTATACACATACACATTTAAGATAGAAGGTGTATACACATACACATTTAGGATAGAAGGTGTATACACATACACATTTAGGATAGAAGGTGTATACACATACACATTTAGGATAGAAGGTGTATACACATACACATTTAGGATAGAAGGTGTATACACATACACATTTAGGATAGAAGGTGTATACACATTAAGGAAAAAATGTTTATACACAAACTATTTAGGATAGAAGATGTATACAAATACATATTTAGGATAGAAGTTGTATACACATACACATTTAGGATAGAAGGTATATACACATACACATTTAGGATAGAAGGTGTATATAGATACAGATTTGAGATTGAACGTTTATACATATACACCTTTAGGTTTAGTTTGGGGTGTTTGTGGGTGGGGGTGGGGAGTTGCTGTGTGGTTAGTGTATTGAAAAATTAGAATAGCGGTATGTGCGTCACGCTAGGTGTTGAAAATATGTGCCAACATTGTGCCAACATTGTGTAAGGGACAGATAGCCCCAAACATTGTGAAGCCATCTTGTGAAATCCAGTAACATGACTAGCGAGACCTACGGGGACCCCGGAAATAGCTGCAGATTGCGAAATCGTAACAACCCATCAGGCGAATAAATGGGTTGGTGTGTGTAAACACCACTTCGGTTCCAAGTATGGGACAAAACGCTGACTGTTCGTGTAACGAAAAAACAGATACAGGTGAAAACATATGAAATCAAATGATCATAGTATGAACTAGTTTGAGGAATCAGAATTACAGTCAGGGGCGTAGCGAGGGGGGGGGGGCGGGGGGTGCGGACCGCACCGGGTGACACCATTTAGGGGGGTGACACCAAGGCAAAAAATAGCAAAATATATAGAGAAAAACTCGAGGCGGGGTGTGCAAATCGAAAGTTTGAGGGGGGGGGGGGCGCAAATCGAAAACTTGAGGGGGGGTGCAAATCGAAAGTTTGAGGGGGGGGGGGGGTGCAAATCGAAAATTTGAAAGTTTGTCCCTGGGAAGGGTCTCTATGCCTCTGGGGGGGGGGGTGACACCATTAAGTGCCGCACCGGGTGACACCCGACCTCGCTACGCCACTGATTACAGTAACCCTTTCCGGTTACTCAATTTACCGGCTTTTGAGAAATCCTATATGTAGTGTAAGTATCATTTCCGGTTACCGGAAATAACTTTAAAAAATGATAGAATACGACAATGTGGGTATAACACTTTATTGGTTAACTTACCGGAACTTGCGATAAAACCTTTCCTGCTGGGCAATGAATTGACACGTGATGGGTCAAGGTCACTGGTCATCTGGGGAATACAGGTCAAGGTCATATGTTTTACACAGGGAAAAGTGTGTGCTAAATTACAGAAAATTGAATTACACTAAATTACACTCCATTACCACTGCACTACATTACACTATACAACAACTACTCTACACAATACAACGGCGTTACGTTTAGCTAGATCATAGGAAATTACACTAGACTTATTTAAATTTTACTAGACTTATTTAAATTACACTAAACAAAAGAGATTACATTAATCTAAATTACACTAAACTACACAACAAGACTATATTCCACTGAACTAAAACACATGACACTGAAGTACAGCACATCACACTGCAACAAATCCACAGGTTTCGAAATGTGTTCAATGAAGGTTAGCTCCAGTGGACTTGTAGCTGTTGCAATGTTTGAACAAGGTGATGACGTCTATAGGGCCCCGTCGACTCGCGAATGTTTTTTTTTTTGAGAATAGCCCGAGAGGGTGGGGGTGTGGCAGTGAGGTATGGGTGTGACAGATTGTCATTGTCACACTCACGGAGTGACAATATCGGCGTCACAATCTCGGCGTCACAACTTTGGCGTCACAGCCACCGTACGGGGATGTGTGTCAAAGTCACAGTCAAGTCAAGTCAAGATTGTAAACAAGTCCCCCAGGTCAAGTCATCACCTACCCGAAGTCTGGACACCCGAACTTTACGTCTGTCGTCTGCTAGAATATGACGGCTGTCTACCGGGACACAACTGTCGTCTGCTAAAACATCTGACGTGTGAGGGCGAGTTGGAACAAGGATAGAAATTCCTGGACTTTCCAGCTCGGCTTCAACTTCAGTGCTGGAGTTTTCTCACGTGTGTTGGTAAATGTGGCATGTGGCAAGTGTGGCGCATGTTAATCCAGGAACTGGAGCGGGAAGAAAGTTCTAGAACAATGGGCGCTAATTGGACCACCCTCTGCCCTGAGATTATCGAGCCGTCCATGAGTAAAAGATGGCCGTCCATGAGTACCAAGATGGCCGTCCATGAGTAAAAGATGGCCGTCCATGCTGGCTTAGTAGGACGTTGAGATTACTTGTATGGTTACCATCATGACCGTCCATTCTGATCTGTGCACTAGAACTATTCTGGCCGTCCATGAATGTTCTGACTGTCGGTGTTTGGTGTAGCCGTCCTAAACAGCCAGGCCGTCCAAAACAGCTGTCCGCCTATCAGCACAGAGAAAAACAGCTTCAAATACCGCAGCAATAAAAGTTAAGACGGCGACCTCTATGGGGTGGTGGGGGTGGGGAAATGAAGAGAGAATGGACATAGTGGGGGGGGGGGGGGGGGAGGGGGTTGAGGTTCTTCTGGTTGGTAAAAATCTGGCCACCCGGACGTTTGAAGAAATATTTTCCAGGAAATCTTCCCGAGGTTTGTTGTGACACTTAAACAATCATTGTATGCTAAAACAATCATCGTACGCTAAAACAACCATCGTACGCTAAAACAATCATTGTATGCTAAAACAATCATTGTATGCTAAAACAATCATTGTATGCTTAAACAATCATTGTATGCTTAAACAATCATTGTATGCTAAAACAATCATTGTATGCTAAAAGAATCATTGTATGCTAAAAAAATCATTGCATGCTAAAACAATCATTGTATGCTAAAACAATCATTGTATGCTTAAACAATCATTGTATGCTAAAACAATCATTGTATGTTAAAAGAATCATTGTATGCTAAAACAATCATTGTATGCTAAAACAATCATTGTATGCTTAAACAATCATTGTATGCTAAAACAATCATTGTATGCTTAAACAATCATTGTATGCTTAAACAATCATTGTATGCTAAAACAATCATTGTATGCTAAAACAATCATTGTATGCTAAAACAATCATTGTATGCTAAAACAATCATTGTATGCTTAAACAATCATCGTATGCTAAAACAATCATCGTATGCTTAAACAATCATTGTATGCTAAAACAATCATTGTATGCTAAAACAATCATTGTATGCTAAAACAATCATTGCATGCTAAAACAATCATTGCATGCTAAAACAATCATTGCATGCTAAAACAATCATCTTATGCTAAAACAATCATCTTATGCTAAAACAATCATTTGTATGCTAAAACAATCATAGCATGCTAAAACAATCATTGCATGCTAAAACAATCATTGCATGCTAAAACAATCATTGTATGCTAAAACAATCATTGTATGCTCAAACAATCATTGTATGCTAAAACAATCATTGTATGCTCAAACAATCATTGTATGCTCAAACAATCATTGGTCCTGAGAGAACGATGTTAAAACAAAAGCCCCGCCTTATCGCTGGTCAATAAAATATTTGTGAAAATTTAAATATTATTACTCCCACTCTCTCCCACCCACCCCGCCCCATAATATTCAAGATTTGTATTGCCTTGAAGAAATAGGTTGAGAGAATTATTACAAGTCCCACTGTACAGGGACATGTGCACTGGCCGCCAAACTTTGTCTCGGCAGAGAGGAAACTAAATACCAAGACATTTGTAAATCTTTCCGGGCGCTAAACATTAGAGAAAAATAAATGTTCCAGATGATTCTCCGGCCTATTTTTACATCAATTTACAGGTTCTATTTTTTACATCGATTCTTAGGTCTATCTTTTACATCGATTCTTGTCTATTTTTTACATCGATTCTTGTCTATTTTTTACATCGATTCTTGTCTATTTTTTACATCGATTCTTGTCTTCTTGTCTATTTTTTACATCGATTCTTGTCTATTTTTTACATCGATTCTTGTCTATTTTTTACATCGATTCTTGTCTATTTTTTACATCGATTCTTGTCTATTTTTTACATCGATTCTTAGGTCTATTTTTTACGTCGATTCTTAGGTCTATTTTTTACATCGATTCTTAGGTCTATTTTTTACATCGATTATTTCCGCTGGCTTTGCTCGGTTATAATTATGTTGATTGTTATATTTGTCTTACGGCTTTTTTTTCCCCTGTCGCTCAACACATTATGACGGAAGGGTTCACACGACGATATAACGACAGGGTTCGGGCTTGGGATTCCACACTGGGGTAGTGACGTTAGGTAGGGCTATGACGTAACTTACCTCTCTACTTCGCAGTTTTGGTTCCTCGTCATCCGAGCTGAGGTCATCACGTGACTCGAACTCCTTCGTCAGGGTCTCGTCGCTTGTCTCGTCCATGCTCAGCTTGCTGGAGGGGGGGGGGGGGAGGGGGGAAAACAAATCAATATGATAAGTCTGCCGGAACCGGACAACCGGCTCAGTCAATACAACACGATGTGGCCATGTTGCTGTCGTTCAGTAGAGAGGAGAGGTGATGATGTGGTCATGTTGCTGTCGTTCAGTAGAGAGGAGAGGTGATGATGTGGTCATGTTGCTGTCGTTCAGTAGAGAGGAGAGGTGATGATGTGGTCATGTTGCTGTCGTTCAGTAGAGAGGAGAGGTGATGATGTGGTCATGTTGCTGTCGTTCAGTAGAGAGGAGAGGTGATGATGTGGTCATGTTGCTGTCGTTCAGTAGAGAGGAGAGGTGATGATGTGGTCATGTTGCTGTCGTTCAGTAGAGAGGAGAGGTGATGATGTGGTCATGTTGCTGTCGTTGTCAGAAAATAGAGATGAGGCCAGGGAAGACATGAGCTTGCTGTAGCGACGTTTTAGTGACGTCGTTGTTGACTAGCGCGTGTACAAGATATGACAGACACAGACAGAGGACAGACACAGACAGAGGACAGACACAGAGGACAGACACAGAGGACAGACACAGAGGACAGACACAGAGGACAGACACAGACAGAGGACAGACACAGACAGAGGACAGACACAGAGGACAGACACAGAGGACAGACACAGACAGAGGACAGACACAGACAGAGGACAGACACAGAGGACAGACACAGAGGACAGACACAGACAGAGGACAGACACAGACAGAGGACAGACACAGAGGACAGACACAGAGGACAGACACAGACAGAGGACAGACACAGACAGAGGACAGACACAGACAGACACAGACACAGACAGAGGACAGACACAGACAGAGGACAGACACAGACAGAGGACAGACACAGACAGAGGACAGACACAGACAGAGGACAGACAGAGGACAGACAGAGGACAGACACAGACAGAGGACAGACAGAGGACAGACACAGACAGAAGACACAGACAGAGGACAGACAGAGGACAGACACAGACAGAGGACAGACACAGACAGAGGACAGACACAGAGGACAGACACAGACAGAGGACAGATACAGACAGAGGACAGACACAGACAAAGGACAGACACAGACAGAGGACAGACACAGACAGAGGGCAGATACAGACAGAGGGCAGACACAGACAGAGAACAGACACAGACAGAGGACAGACACAGACAGAGGACAGACACAGACAGAGGACAGACACAGACAGAGGACAGACACAGACAGAGGACAGACACAGACAGAGGACAGACACAGACAGAGGACAGACACAGACAGAAGACAGACACAGACAGAGGACAGACACAGACAGAGGACAGACAGAGGACAGACACAGACAGAGGAGAGACACAGACAGAGGACAGACAAAGACAGAGGACAGACACAGACAGAGGATTGACACAGATAGAGGACAGACACAGACAGAAGACAGACACAGACAGAGGACAGACAGAAGACAGACAGAGGACAGACACAGACAGAGGACAGACAGAGGACAGACACAGACAGAGGACAGACAGAGGACAGACACAGACAGAGGACAGACACAGACAAAGGACAGACGCAGACAGAGGACAGACACAGACAGAGGACAGACACAGACAGAGGGCAGACACAGACAGAGGACAGACACAGACAGAAGACAGACACAGACAGACACAGACAGAGGACAGACACAGAGGACAGACACAGAGTACAGACACAGACAAAGGACAGACACAGACAGAAGACAGACACAGACAGAGGACAGACACAGACACAGACAGAGGACAGACAGAGGACAGACACAGACAGAGGACAGACACAGATAAAGGACAGACACAGACAGAGGACAGACACAGACAGAGGACAGACAGAGGACAGACACAGAGGACAGACACAGAGGACAGACACAGACAGAGGACAGACACAGACAGAAGACAGACACAGACAGACACAGACAGAGGACAGACACAGACAGAGGACAGACACAGACAGAGGACAGACACAGACAGAGGACAGACACAGACAGAGGACAGACAGAGGACAGACAGAGGACAGACACAGACAGAGGACAGACAGAGGACAGACACAGACAGAAGACACAGACAGAGGACAGACAGAGGACAGACACAGACAGAGGACAGACACAGACAGAGGACAGACACAGAGGACAGACACAGACAGAGGACAGATACAGACAGAGGACAGACACAGACAAAGGACAGACACAGACAGAGGACAGACACAGACACAGACAGAGGACAGACAGAGGACAGACACAGAGGACAGACACAGACAGAGGGCAGACACAGACAGAAGACAGACACAGAGGACAGACAGACAGACACAGACAAAGGACAGACACAGACAGAGGACATAGAAACAGAGAGATGTTTACCGTCTACTTGACTTGACTTGAAACAGATACAAGCAGATACAAGCAGATAAAAGTAGACGCAAGCAGACAAAACGATGTTGACGCCTGCTAGTTCAATACTCAAATAATTTCACAGAATAACTTTAAAAAGGAGAATTGAATTGGAATGACATCATCTAATTGAAAGGTTATGATTGTGGACCACTTGATGATAGCCAGACAAGCAGGAAGTTGATCAATTGTTGGATCTGGGTTGTTGGATGTTGGATGCTAGTTGTTGTTTGTTGGATATTAGTATTATAGCCCAACGGATTAGGATTTAAGCTATTGTAGTCCAACAGATTAAGATTACAGTTATGTTGATTGTGATTAAAGTCAACACACCGACCGTCATGTAGTCCATGATGTCAGGTGTTGGAGCTAATTACATCTTACATAATTTGGTTACATTTCCTGACCTCTCTGTAAGCTTCTGCCCCCCCCCTGTACCCTTCCCCCACCTCACTCCCTATGTAGTACCACCCATTGTGGATCATCAAACTTTTGCCCCCCCCCCCCCCCCCCTAATGTCGACATGTCCCACGCCACTTACAATGTGCGGTACTTTCTCGTTTATCAGCCAATGGTGATCATACATCAACATTCCCAATCACCATAGCAATCATTATCCCAAACACTATCCTAAATCACCATCCACAACACCATCCCCTCACCATCCCAAATAACCATCACAATCACCCTCCCGCGACGAATAACCTCCCACACGCCGCTGTTAGACTTGGCTAAACGACAACTGGGTGATTGGAATGTGACGATTCACGTTTGTAATGTGAGGTTTGTAATGTGGGGTTTGTAATGTGAGGTTTGTAATGTGAGGTTTGTAATGTGAGGTTTGTAATGTGAGGTTTGTAATGTGAGGTTTGCAATGTGAGGTTTGTAATGTGAGGTTGTATCGTCGTGCTGAAGAAACGGATCGGCTTGACGAGGGTATCGATACCGCTGCATTACGTCACCACGACAGATCTGTCCTATTGTGTACACCGTCGTGACCTTGACCTGGGTTCCAACTTCCTGGATCTAAAAATAAATTATCAGTCGACTCGGTAAAGTGACTATCACGTGAGAAACAAAGTCGGTTTGATTGGCTGGTTAAGATTCATTAAGTGGGGAGAAGGGAGGTGTGTGGTTGTCACAGGCAGTCAACATACTCGGTAGGGGGTGGGGCGACAGTGGGGTAGGGGGTGGGGCGACAGTGGGGTAGGGGGTGGGGCGACAGTGGGGTAGGGGGTGGGGCGACAGTGGGGTAGTCGTACAACGGCCTCCATAAAAGACAGCTAAATATTTTCCCCAAATTTTTTTTTCCCAAGAGGGAGAAACATACAACGCTGACTTTGTGACAAGTAACGGCTAACACCGGTGATTCAGCAATGGATCTTAAGAAACCAACCTCTTGGACACAGTTAATGTATAACTTTATGAACAACAAACAGTATACTATTTATATTACCTCATTTTACAGAAGGCTATACGAGCAACTTATTGCGTAGAATACATTTTAAAGGAATTTTTCTTTTCTCCACATTTTAAATATCATTCAATTTTGTATTTATTGAAGAACTACGGAAATTTAAAGTTGAAATTCCCGACACATTAATTATCCCTTTATGTAGGTATAAGTTCGCGGAAAAAAACTTGTTAATATTTATTACTTTTCACACCTATTTGTAAATCGTTTTGTTTAAATTTGAAAGAAATTTTCTTTTGTTCAAAATGTTTTCTTCGGTTTTTTTTGTGTGCATGTAGTCAAAGAATGGGGAAAATTAAAAGTTAAAATTCCTGACACTCTTACGTCCATTTAATAATTAAAATTGAGGAGTAAAAGCGATCAATTATTAACATTAATTATGACATTTATGAGAATCTGATATTTTTTCAGTTGCCTACGACACCAGAACTAGCTCCTTGTCAAATATCAAAATTTTGTCGCATCAGCAAGTGGTGGATCTAATTCAAGCACTTTATAAAAATGTAGAGTTTACATAAGGCTGCGGTCACTCTAGGTCATTTTAGGGTAATTTTAAACTCGATTACTGAGATTACTCTAATTGTCCCGTTTAAAACAAAGTGAACGGCTAAATTATACAGGAACAATTTCCCTGCAAGTCCTCGATCTAATAGGTGTGAGTAACAAACATCACCCGCTTTGGTTTTATAGATCTAGACAACTTATGAAAACAATGGAACACAAATATAAGACAAGTAGTACACAAGGCAATAGAAAACAGTGCATATTTCAAGTGTATTATGTACATGTTTAAATCCCAGAGGTATGTGGGCTATAGAGAGCTCCAAATGTGGGCTATAGAGAGCTCCAAATGTGGGCTATAGAGAGCTCCAAATGTGGGCTATAGAGAGCACCAAATGTGGGCTATAGAGAGCACAAAATGTGGGCTATAGAGAGCTCCAAATGTGGGCTATAGAGGGCACCAAATGTGGGCTATAGAGAGCACCAAATGTGGGCTATAGAGGGCACCAAATGTGGGCTATAGAGAGCTCCAAATGTGGGCTATAGAGAGCACCAAATGTGGGCTATAGAGGGCACCAAATGTGGGCTATAGAGGGCACCAAATGTGGGCTATAGAGAGCACCAAATGTGGGCTATAGAGGGCACCAAATGTGGGCTATAGAGAGCTCCAAATGTGGGCTATAGAGAGCACCAAATGTGGGCTATAGAGGGCACCAAATGTGGGCTATAGAGGGCACCAAATGTGGGCTATAGAGGGCACCAAATGTGGGCTATAGAGAGCACCAAATGTGGGCTATAGAGGGCACCAAATGTGGGCTATAGAGAGCTCCAAATGTGGGCTATAGAGGGCACCAAATGTGGGCTATAGAGGGCAGCATTATCCTGCAATGTGTACACATTTTATGACCCGTTAACTACTTCGAACTCCCAGCGTGAAAAATGTCACACTTGGGTGGATTCGAACCCGCCCCACTTGATGGGTGTGCTCATTGTGTAGTTGTATCATAAGGTAGAATCATTATCTATACATATCAATTAAAATACAGGCTGTCATTTATCAAGTCTGCATGATATGTAAATGTATGAGGTGTGGTCGACTTCAAACTACTTGATGAAAACCTCAAGTTAAAACATTGTGTGTGTGTGTAGTAGTAGGCCTACCTGTAGTACGTGTGTGTGTGTGGTGTAGCTGTAGTATCCCAAACTAGCTGCACCTAGAACAGTGAGAGCCTGGCCATGACAGTGAGAGCCTGGCCATGACAGTGAGAGCCTGGCCATGACAGTGAGAGCCTGGCCATGACAGTGAGAGCCTGGCCATGACAGTGAGAGCCTGGCCATGACATGACAGTGAGAGCCTGGCCATGACATGACAGTGAGAGCCTGGCCATGACAGTGAGAGCCTGGCCATGACATGACAGTGAGAGCCTGGCCATGACATGACAGTGAGAGCCTGGCCATGACAGTGAGAGCCTGGCCATGACATGACAGTGAGAGCCTGGCCATGACAGTGAGAGCCTGGCCATGACAGTGAGAGCCTGGCCATGACAGTGAGAGCCTGGCCATGACAGTGAGAGCCTGGCCATGACAGTGAGAGCCTGGCCATGACAGTGAGAGCCTGGCCATGACAGTGAGAGCCTGGCCATGACATGACAGTGACAGCCTGGCCATGACAGTGAGAGCCTGGCCATGACATGACAGTGAGAGCCTGGCCATGACATGACAGTGAGAGCCTGGCCATGACATGACAGTGAGACCCTGGCCATGACATGACAGTGAGAGCCTGGCCATGACATGACAGTGAGAGCCTGGCCATGACATGACAGTGAGACCCTGGCCATGACATGACAGTGAGACCCTGGCCATGACATGACAGTGAGACCCTGGCCATGACATGACAGTGAGACCCTGGCCATGACATGACAGTGAGACCATGGCCATGACATGACAGTGAGACCCTGGCCATGACATGACAGTGAGACCCTGGCCATGACATGACAGTGAGACCCTGGCCATGACATGACAGTGAGACCCTGGCCATGACATGACAGTGAGACCCTGGCCATGACATGACAGTGAGACCCTGGCCATGACATGACAGTGAGACCCTGGCGATGACATGACAGTGAGACCCTGGCCATGACATGACAGTGAGACCCTGGCCATGACATGACAGTGAGACCCTGGCCATGACATGACAGTGAGACCCTGGCCATGACATGACAGTGAGAGCCTGGCCATGACATGACAGTGAGAGCCTGGCCATGACATGACAGTGAGACCCTGGCCATGACATGACAGTGAGACCCTGGCCATGACATGACAGTGAGACCCTGGCCATGACATGACAGTGAGACCCTGGCCATGACATGACAGTGAGACCCTGGCCATGACATGACAGTGAGACCCTGGCCATGACATGACAGTGAGACCCTGGCCATGACATGACAGTGAGACCCTGGCCATGACATGACAGTGAGACCCTGGCCATGACATGACAGTGAGACCCTGGCCATGACATGACAGTGAGACCCTGGCCATGACATGACAGTGAGACCCTGGCCATGACATGACAGTGAGACCCTGGCCATGACATGACAGTGAGACCCTGGCCATGACATGACAGTGAGACCCTGGCCATGACATAACAGTGAGACCCTGGCCATGACATGACAGTGAGACCCTGGCCATGACAGTGAGACCCTGGCCATGACATGACAGTGAGACCCTGGCCATGACATGACAGTGAGACCCTGGCCATGACATAACAGTGAGACCCTGGCCATGACATGACAGTGAGACCCTGGCCATGACAGTGAGACCCTGGCCATGACAGTGAGACCCTGGCCATGACATGACAGTGAGACCCTGGCCATAACAGTGAGACACTGGCCATGACATAACAGTGAGACCCTGGCAATGACATGACAGTGAGACCCTGGCCATGACAGTGAGACCCTGGCTATGATATGACAGTGAGACCCTGGCCATGACAGTGAGACCCTGGCCATGACAGTGAGACCCTGGCTATGACATGACAGTGAGACCCTGACCATGACATGACAGTGAGACCCTGGCCATGACATGACAGTGAGACCCTGGCCATGACATAACAGTGAGACCCTGGCCATGACATGACAGTGAGACCCTGGCCATGACATGACAGTGAGACCCTGGCCATAACAGTGAGACACTGGCCATGACATAACAGTGAGACCCTGGCAATGACATGACAGTGAGACCCTGGCCATGACAGTGAGACCCTGGCTATGATATGACAGTGAGACCCTGGCCATGACAGTGAGACCCTGGCCATGACAGTGAGACCCTGGCCATGACAGGGAGACCCTGGCCATGACATGACAGTGAGACCCTGGCCATGACAGTGAGACCCTGGCCATGACAGTGAGACCCTGGCCATGACATGACAGTGAGACCCTGGCCATAACAGTGAGACACTGGCCATGACATAACAGTGAGACCCTGGCAATGACATGACAGTGAGACCCTGGCCATGACAGTGAGACCCTGGCTATGATATGACAGTGAGACCCTGGCCATGACAGTGAGACCCTGGCCATGACAGTGAGACCCTGGCTATGACATGACAGTGAGACCCTGACCATGACATGACAGTGAGACCCTGGCCATGACATGACAGTGAGACCCTGGCCATGACATAACAGTGAGACCCTGGCCATGACATGACAGTGAGACCCTGGCCATGACATGACAGTGAGACCCTGGCCATAACAGTGAGACACTGGCCATGACATAACAGTGAGACCCTGGCAATGACATGACAGTGAGACCCTGGCCATGACAGTGAGACCCTGGCTATGATATGACAGTGAGACCCTGGCCATGACAGTGAGACCCTGGCCATGACAGGGAGACCCTGGCCATGACATGACAGTGAGACCCTGGCCATGACAGTGAGACCCTGGCCATGACAGTGAGACCCTGGCCATGACAGTGAGACCCTGACCATGGGAGTGAGACCCTGGACATGACAGTGAGACCTTGGCCATGAAAGTGAGACTAGAAAGAAACAATGAGACCTTACCTGAGTGAGGGGAACGTGATGTAAGCGTGAAACCTCCTCTCCACCAGTTTTTGGTGCGATGTGTTCATGTTTACAGCGGCCTGAGTGCTGTGTTCACGACACAGGAAACGGATATTTGGTCCGCCTTTAGCACAAGTGGTGTGTTGTACTAACGGGAGGGGCGGGGGAGACGAAATCAGGTCAGGATACACAAGTCGACACTGTCACGTGTCGTGTGCACAGCGACACGGTGTTTTTGTGCAGGTTCCAAAACTGGCCGCACGAACTCTTGGAGTCATACTATGACATGCAGGAGATAGACACGTGACTTGCAAGAATTAGAGAGACAAGACACAATCATGCGTCCTGAAATGTCTGCACCACATGGGGGACCACATGTCATGTACACAGCAGTTAGCATATGACAGGCACACACAGGGCATCTAAATGTCATCCTCATATTTTCAAAATGTAGCGTCAAGACTGTACAATCATATTTGCTGCATACATTGCTACATGTCATGCCCACATGAGCTAAATGTCATGCCCACAACCGGCTGTCATACTGATGGGTCCCTAAAATATGTAAGAGATTTCATGAGCTTCTTCTTCTGCTTCTTCTTCTTTTTTAACTTTTAGTGTTGTGAGGGATAGATCCTTATCTGTAGAGGGTTTGAACTCGAGCCTTTGTCCAACCAACAACAAACTACAAGGCAGCAGTTGTTTGATTTGGAGTTGTCTCTCCTAGAAGAGTTGCTGTCCCCAGCTAACGAGCTACATCTACCCGAGGGTTCGAACTCGAGACATTTCGGTTTGTGCAACCATGAGCTTTACCGACTCGACCCCTAATTCATGAGTGACCAACGTTGTTATTAAAGAAAGTATATTTTATTTTTCTAATTTTCTGTGCATTTAACAAACTTTTAAAATTTCATTTGTACTTCTGAGCTTTATCAAAATGAAAATAATAATTTGACCAACAATTTTTTTGGCTGTAAAACACAGTCTGTAAAAACGTGTAAACTAGTCTTTAATGTTTGAAGAAAACTGGGCCAGCATTTGAAAACGAGGCTTGATGTCCTACATTCACTAGAGATGTAGGAATATTTTATAATAAAATACTTAAAAAAAACTTTTTAAAAAACCACGTTTTTCTTGTGGACTAAAAAGTAGAAAATAACTATTTACATACATTTGATGACAAAAAACGTGGGTCGGGCAGATGGGTCGGGAAATTTGATGGTGAACGTACCCACGTTTTTTGTCATCAAATGTATGTAAATAGTTATTTTCTACTTTTTAGTCCACAAGAAAAACGTGGTTTTTAAAAAGTTTTTTTTAAGTATTTTATTTTCTCCTTTTTAGTCCGTTGCTACACATGAAAAACGTGGTTTTTAAAAAGTTTTTTATATAGTTTATTTTCTACTTTATCTAATCACTTGATTAAGTATGACTTGACTAAGTGTTTTTAAATACACGGACTAAAAAAATCTTGAGCGACCGATACGCTTTAAACAGAGAAAGGGTGTAATTTACGTTGCTGGCGTGGAGATCTACTCACGAATCACGTGATCAAATCTCCCATAAACAAACAAATAAACGCGAAACTGAGTTAAGGAAAAACGTGTTTATGTGTATTTTAGCATGCCCAGCGTACCAACCGTGTCACCGTTAACAATGTGTTACCGTGTCCGTTCTCCTTTTTAGTCCGTTGCTACACATAAAAAACGTGGTTTTTTTAAAAGTTTTTTTTAAGTATTTTATTTTCTCCTTTTTAGTCCGTTGCTACACATGAAAAACGTGGTTTTTAAAAAAGTGTTTATAAATACACGGACTAAAAATCTTGAGCGACCAGGATTCGAACCTGGGTTGTCGCGGCCACAACGCGAAGTACTAACCACTATACGATCACGGCCAGCGCGCTCACATCGATTGGGGCCGAAGTAACTGTGTCAATAGGCCTCAAGTCTTGTCGGTATCTTTAGAAATCATGTCCTCAATTTTATGGTCCTTGGGGCGTAATTAAATTAAGCTAATTACGGTCACTAATTGCTAGTTTTTATGATTGCATCTGAAATTGTTAGGCGAAAGTAGCATGCATGCCAAATTTCAGGTCTCTAGAGCAATCAGAAGTGGGCTAATTTTCGATGTCAATTTTAACAACAAACAAACAAACGCGAAGCTGAGTTAAGAAAAACGTGTTAAAAACGTTTTAAAAACGTGTTAAAAATAAACACAGGTAGTGTGGTGTGGTGGTAGTGTGGTGTGGTGGTAGTGTGGTGTGGTGGTAGTGTGATGGTAGTGAGGTGTGGTGTGGTGGAAGTGAGATGTGGTGTGGTGGTAGTGTGGTGTGGTGGTAGTGTGATGGTAGTAGGGGGTGGTGTGGTGGTAGTGTGAAGGTAGTGTGGTGTGGTGGTAGTGTGGTGTGGTGTGGTGTGGTGGTAGTGTGATGGTAGTGATGTGTGGTGTGATGGTAGTGAGGTGTGGTGTGGTGGTAGTGTGGTGTGGTGTGGTGGTAGTGTGATTTAGTGAGGTGTGGTGTGGTGTGGTGGTAGTGTGATGGTAGTGAGGTGTGGTGTGGTGGTAGTGAGGTGTGGTGTGGTGGTAGTGAGGTGTGGTGTGGTGGTCGTGTGGTGTGGTGTGGTGGTAGTGTGATGGTAGTGAGGTGTGGTGTGGTGGTAGTGTGGTGTGGTGTGGTGGTAGTGAGGTGTGGTGGTAGTGTGGTGGTAGTGTGGTGGTAGTGTGGTGTGGTGTGGTAGTGTAGTGTGATGGTAGTGAGGTGTGGTGATCGTGTGGTGTGGTGGTAGTGTGGTGTGGTGTGGTAGTGTGGTGTAGTGTGGTGTGGTTTGGTGGTAGTGTGGTGTGGTGGTAGTGTGGTGTGGTGTGGTAGTGTGGTGGTAGTGTGGCGTTATGGTCACGTGTTTCGGTGTTCGCATGATGTTGTCACCACACCCTCCAGTCATGACGACACGCTAAAGGCCCCAGTAAATAAACGTTCCTTTCAAATCTTGCCGGAATTTCCAGGGACTATTTCCTTATTCCGAAACTTCAAACTTTCCAAGTGAAAACAGATGACCCAGAACGAAAACTGAATGGGTCTTGGGATAATCGTGGGTAGATGGCACCATATCTTGGGTCAAGGTCGTGTGGGTTCACAGAGTCGTGTGGATGGTGTCTGGTTGGATGGTGTGTCTAGTTGGATGGTGTGTCTAGTTGGATGGTGTGTCTAGTTGGATGGTGTGTCTAGTTGGATGGTGTGTCTAGTTGGATGGTGTGTCTAGTTGGATGGTGTGTCTAGTTGGATGGTGTGTCTAGTTGGATGGTGTGTCTAGTTGGATGGTGTGTCTAGTTGGATGGTGTGTCTAGTTGGATGGTGTGTCTAGTTGGATGGTGTGTCTAGTTGGATGGTGTGTCTAGTTGGATGGTGTGTCTAGTTGGATGGTGTGTCTAGTTGGATGGTGTGTCTAGTTGGATGGTGTGTCTAGTTGGATGGTGTGTCTAGTTGGATGGTGTGTCTAGTTGGATGGGGTGTCTAGTTGGATGGTGTGTCTAGTTGGATGGTGTGTCTAGTTGGATGGTGTGTCTAGTTGGATGGTGTGTCTAGTTCAGGGGTCGGCAACCTGCGGCTCGCGAGCCGCATGCGGCTCTTTTGACGTTAAGATGCGGCTCTTCAGCTCCCTGCACAAATATTAATAATTGTTTTATTTTATTTTCAATACTCATAAAAATATTGTTCTGCTACACTTGGTAATGAACGATAAAATAATAAACATAAACAATAAACATTCGCCTTTATTTTAGAATATTTAGTTACGCCATACACCATTTAGGGGGGGGTGACACAATTTAGGGGGTGACACCATTTAGGGGGGGGGTGACACCAAGGCAAAAAAGCGTATACACATACATATACGCGAAGCGGCATATATTTAAATTACAGGCTTATGTAGGCCGACACAAACACACACACACACACACACATATATATACATATATATACATATATATATATATATATATATATATATATATATATATATATATATATATATATATATATATATATATATATATATATATATATATATAAAATCCTAATCTAATAGCATAATATTAAAATAAAAATGTTCGTGGCTCTTTAAAAACTGGGATATTTGGTAAATTATTACTTTTGGCTCTTACGTCCCAAAAGCTTGCCGACCCCTGGTCTAGTTGGATGGTGTGTGTGGTACACAAATCTAAATTTAACACTCTCAATTGCTTCAATAACTCACATAAATACCCAGGACAGCGCAGGCTACATCTGAAATACACCAAGACATTTGAATAGTGGCAGAAATCAAGACTACGATGCCCATACCATCTGCACACAATGTCAATCATAGATGGGGTCAAGTAGGGGTCAAACCACACATCAAAACAAACTACCAAAATATAAATCTTGGTTTAGATGGATAAATGGATGTGAGGTAGACCAACGACTAGATGGATAATGGATGTGAGGTAGACCAACGACTAGATGGATAATGGATGTGAGGTAGACCAACGACTAGATGGATAATGGATGTGAGGTAGACCAACGACTAGATGGATAATGGATGTGAGGTAGACCAACGACTAGATGGATGATGGATGTAGAGATAGACCAACGACTAGATGGATAATGGATGTTAGGTAGACCAACGACTAGATGGATAATGGATGTGAGATAGACCAACGACTAGATGGATAATGGATGTTAGGTAGACCAACGACTAGATGGATAATGGATGTGAGGTAGACCAACGACTAGATGGATAATGGATGTTAGGTAGACCAACGACTAGATGGATAATGGATGTGAGGTAGACCAACGACTAGATGGATAATGGATGTGGATATAGACCAACGACAGCTGGGTCCAGAAATGGAAGCAGACGACACAGGACCTGTTTGATTGGCAGACGATTGTCAAGTACACCAAAGCCCTCTGGCAGTTTTTCTTCCAGACTTTTTTCTCCGGGGGGGGGGGGGGGGGACTTGATGTGTTTGGGGTGGGGGAACATTTTCCGGTGGGGGGCGGACACTGATAAAAGTATATGTTTTCTACATAAATTCCATGCCTTTCGGGAGGTGGGTAGACTTTCTTGGATGGGTAAAGCCCCCCCCCCCCCCCAGAGATGTCCGGAAGAAACTCTGCCCTCTGGGTATTGTGGAGAGGGGGGATGATGTCAACATCAGGTGTAGATGTTTGTGCTCTAATGGGTGGGGGGGGGGGTATCTAATGGACAACCTTATAGAGGGTTTATGCACTGGGTTGTTCTCTGATGTCAAATTGGTTGTTCTTCAGAGGGTTGTATTAATGGGTTGTTCTCTAGATATCAAATTGGTTGTTCTTCAGAGGGTTGTATTAATGTGTTGTTCTCTAGAGGGTTGTATTAATGGGTTGTTCTCTAGAGGGTTGTATTAATGGGTTGTTCTCTAGAGGGTTGTATTAATGGATTGTTCTCTAGAGCCACCACCCTCCCTTGCGTAAGATAAGATTCTCGACATAACTGATTTATTTAGATCCTTGTTTGCCCCCCCCCCCCCAATCACACATAACACACCCACATACACGTACAAAACCATTACCCAGGTTTTTATCTTTTTCGTGTAGCCGGAAGTAAATTATCAGGGCGTATGGCTAGCCTGGTTGTCTGAAGAGAGAGAGCGGGTTGGTGTGGTTGGTGTGGTTGTCTAAATAGCGGAGCAGGGAGTGGCTCCATTTCTCTGAAGTTTATTTCTGCTCGTGCGATCTGACGATTTTATGAAAGGCTGTGGTTCGGGGGGGGGGGGGGGGGGGGGAAGTGATCGTTGGATGTTTTATTATGCTTCAGCGGACAGGTGAAAAACAACACCTGCATCCTTCTCTGGGTGAAAGTGACAATGGGGAGGGTGGGGTGGGGGGAAGGGGGGGGGGGGGTTCTCCCGAAGATTCCAGATGAATATCAGTTAATTATTTAATCATTTCTAATCTATTACCCAGTAAAAATTGGCTCATATTAATTAAATTATTCTCACGTAATTTTTTAGCGCAATTTCCATTCTGGAGAACTGCGTTTATTAACCCGTCATTTCTGGATGTATGAATGTATGAATGTATGAATGTGTGTCCGCAGCTGTAAGTCGTATCTCCTCCTCAACGAAGCAATATCGAGGGTTAGTTCCAAAGCAATTATGTTAAGCAAGTTACCAGGATGATAGTGGGCAAAAAAAATTCCGGGTTTCTTTCATAGATTTCCCGGAAAAATCAAAAAACCTCGAAAAAAATGCAGTTTTTGGCCCATATCTCGGCAACTAGACCACTTAGCGACTTGAAACATGTACCAATCGATTCCTGCCATAATTTAGAACAATATTGCCGAAGAAAGTTTTCAAAAATATCCTTTCGTTCGGTCCCAAAAAATTGTTTGAATTAATTAAAATTTGGACCGAATTAGTAGGCATGTTTATCCAACCACACCACACGCGTCACCACGTTCAATAGCTGCGCCATCACGTTCAATGGCTGCGTCATCACGTTCAGTAGCTAGGCGCGCAATGGTTTTTAGTCATGTAACTCTATTGTAAATAAAACATGTAAAATACTGAAAAAAAAATTAATAAAAAACGTTTTAATAACTAATTAACTAACCAATGGTTTTACTAACCCTGCCCTTGATTTACGCTACGACAGAGCTATTTTTAGATAACATAAGGAAATTGCGCTAAAATTGTCACTAGACTTTTTAATTACCTTGTTTTATAGGAAAACGCTTTAGTGTGTTCACACATGTCCAAAAATGTACTAACACAATGAGTGTGGTGTAACATTACTAAAGCTATAGGCCTGTGCTGCTATGACTAACAATAATGAGGAAATAGGAACATAAGTCTTATGGTATCTGACGTCAACACGCCAATCTACAACATATAAAAGGGAACATACGTGCACCAGCAGATTTCTACAGTCACCACAAATCACAAGCAATAATGTAACAGGTGTATGTTGTCATAATATGATGTGTTAGCTGGGATTTCTATAATTAACAGGTGTATGTTGTCATAATATGATTTGTTAGTTGGGATTTCTATAATTAACAGGTGTATGTTGCCATAATAAGATTTGTTAGCTGAAATTTCTGTGAATTACAGTAAATTGGCGACAAAAAAATCCACATCGGGCGGGCTTAAGCTATAGCTTGTTTAGGTTGTTCGTGAATCTGACATTATTGATAACAATATCGATCTACAATACCCAAATAACCATAACAAAATAGGTCTACCATACCCAAATAACCATAACAATATAGGCCTACCATACCCAAATAACCATAACAATATAGGCCTACCATACCCAAATAACCATAACAATATAGGCCTACCATACCCAAATAACCATCTTTATAGCCGTCTTTATATTTAAGGGCATTAACCAGTATTACATTTTTCGGTATCTGAACAGTAAGATCCATTTTTTTTTTTTTTTTGCCATAGATGTTAGAAGGAATGAACACAGTGGTTTTTTTAAACAGCACTTTTTAATAAGGGGAGATAGACTGGTTAAATAGTAAAAAGTGTTTGTTTTGTATGGATTACTTCCCTTGTTAATTGAATCACTCGAGTAGGATTACCTCTGTCAAATTTTGAACATCAGTCAGTTGTTGACGCGTCAGTCAATAGTTGTCACGTGACTCGTCAGTCAGTTGTTGACATGTCAGTCAGTTGTTGTCACGTGACTCGTCAGTTACTTTTTTAACTCACTAAAATTTCAAAAGTAGACCTGACCCACATAATTGTGTACCTGACCTTCAGTGTCCAGCAAATGGAACAAGAATTGAGGCCCATATAAACTAACGGCGACTTACATATCACTTTTTCTTTGTTAACTAGATCTCGGTTTCCTGCTATTTTTATTTGTTTTGTCAAATCTTATTTGTTAATTATGTCAAATCTTATTTGTTAATTATGTCAAATCTTATTTGTTAACTTTGTCATATTTTATTTGTTTATTTTGTCAAATCTTATTTGTTAATTTTTTTTCCATAATTTTCTTTGTTAATGTTGTCCTAATTTTTTTTTTCATTTTTTCTTTAATTTTCTTTGGTGTTTTCATTGCAATTTCTTTTAAATTTCATTGTAATTTCTTTGTTAAATGTTATGTTTAAATTTTTATTGTAATTTAAATAAAAATATTTCTTTGTTAATTTTGTTGTAATTTTCTTTGTGTCAGATCAGTGTTGGTTGTTGATGTGGCGAATGTGAGAAGTTGAGTAAAATGTGGCGATGTGGCGAATGTTGGTTGCTTTACAATATCGGGGAGCTTACACGTGTTCCCTAGGGTGGGGGTGGGGCTGGTTGGTATTTTAACATAGAGGTGTGAGATAGTTTACAAAATAACAGATGGAGGGGGAGGATTTGAGAACACTGTACGCGGTGTGTGTGTGTGGGGGGGGGGGGGTAGATAAGTCATAGAAAAAAGTCACAAATGTGTATTTGCATGGAATTTGTTAATACTTTTAAACGTCAAGAACACACAATATGTACGGACAAGGCCGACTGAGGAGAAGCCGACCAAGTATAAGGGCTACGGCAAAAACATATGCAAACACAATGATGGGCCTACAATTATTTTAAAATAATTTTCAACCGTGTCTTTAACTAAATACGTAACAAATATTGACGTTGGTATATTATTTTACATTATATTAACTTATTATTGTTATAAACCATAATGCTTTTAAAGTTTACAAATATGCTACGGGAAAAATTACCAAGCACATTAATAAACAACACAAATTTTACAATTATCAAAAATTTCTCATAATAAGTTTTCTTTTGTGACTTTTTTTCTGTGACTTTTGATCCTAACAAAAACTGTTAATTTTTTCTTTTCTTTTTCCCTGTGATTTTATTTCGTTCACCGTTTATGGATGGCACTTAAACATTTAAAAAAGAAAATAATCACAATAATTAATTTTTAATAATTGTAGGCCTAAAACTTTAGTCATTTTTATAGACCTTCTCAGACGCCACCTGCCCTATTCGCCAGTTTACCGATCAGCCTGAAACTTCTGACATTAAGAGTCTTGATCACCCGCCAAAAACCCGATGAATAAAATAAAAACAAACACACGCCGCAGCGAAGATCGACCTTCGACACAGTAACCCGCTGAAAACTGGGTCAGGCAGCAGCCGACAACTCTCGTCCTTCTGACACACAGCTGGTGATGGAGGTTAGCTGTACGACACACAACATACGTCTGTGCTACATAAATAACACATACTAGATTCTACACAAACGAGATTCTACACTACTCAATTTGGATTCAATAGGAAATTCCCGATGGTTATTTTTGTTTGTTGACACACGAGTGAACTACACACCATCTGGCGAGGTTCTATATTTAGCGGCGAGTCACTATCTTTGTTGACTGTGTGTTGGGGCAGTCTTCGCTTGCTGCTAGGCCTGAATGTAAGTAGGTTAGTCCAGTTTCTTGTGTGTCCAGTTTCTTGTGTGTCCAGTTTCTTGTGTGTCCAGTTTCTTGTGTGTCCAGTTTCTTGTGTGTCCAGTTTCTTGTGTGTCCAGTTTCTTGTGTGTCCAGTTTCTTGTGTGTCCAGTTTCTTGTGTGTCCAGTTTCTTGTGTGTCCAGTTTCTTGTGTGTCCAGTTTCTTGTGTGTCCAGTTTCTTGTGTGTCCAGTTTCTTGTGTGTCCAGTTTCTTGTGTGTCCAGTTTCTTGTGTTCAGCGTGTGAACTGTGTATGGCGTGGCTCTGAGAAAGGTTCGATTTGTTGGGAGAGTTTGCTTGTGTCTGTATTCTCCTTGTTCACCATAGTGTGTTGTATCACCATAGGCCATCGTGTGTTGTATCACCATAGGCCATAGTGTGTTGTATGATATAGCTGGTGTGCTTGATGTTTACAGAAACATCTAGCCTTTATTACACCATGTATTTTACAAATTCTTCCCGTTAACGTTCTCAACACAACATAAACTCACCACTATCTCACCCCACCCTCGACTCACCACTGTCTCACCACACCATTGTCTCACCACATCACTGTCTCACCACACTACTGTCTCACTACACCACTGTCTCACCACACCATAAACTCACCACTGTCTCACCACACCATTGTCTCACCACACCATAAACTCACCACTGTCTCACCACACCACTGTCTCACTACACCACTGTCTCTCCACACCATTGTCTCACCACACTACTGTCTCACCACACCACTGTCTCACCACACCACTGTCTTACCACACCACTGTCTCACCCCACCATTGTCTCACCACACCATTGTCTCACCACACCACTGTCTCACCACACCATCACCACACCATCACCACACCATCACCACACCACTGTCTCACCACACCACTGTCTCACCACACCATTGTCTCACCACACCATTGTCTCACCACACCACTGTCTCACCACACCACTGTCTCACCACTTCATTGTCTCACCACACCACTGTCTCACCACACCACTGTCTCACCACACCATCACCACACCATCACCACACCATCACCACACCACTGTCTCACCACACCACTGTCTCACCACTTCATTGTCTCACCACACCACTGTCTCACCACACCACTGTCTCACCACACCATTGTCTCACCACATCATTGTCTCACCACACCACTGTCTCACCACACCATTAACTCACCACTGTCTCACCACACCATTGTCTCACCATACCATAAACTCACCACTGTCTCACCACACCACTGTCTCACCACACCATTAACTCACCACTGTCTCACCACACCATTGTCTCACCACACCACTGTCTCACCACACCATTAACTCACCACTGTCTCACCACACCACTGTCTCACCACACCACTGTCTCACCACACCATTAACTCACCACTGTCTCACCACACCATTAACTCACCACTGTCTCACCACACCATTGTCTCACCACACCATTAACTCACCATTGTCTCACCACACCACTGTCTCACCACACCATAAACTCACGTTCCTGTATGAACATTAAACAATGACCTTGACATGTCTCAAATGAATAAAAGCACACGTCATGTGGCTCACCATCTGATGCGCGCGAGTATAGATTCGATTAGGTCACCTCTGGCGGTGTGTTGATTGGTGTTTTATTGTGAGGTCAACTCTGGTGGTGTGTCGATTGGTGTTTTATTGCAACATCTTAAGCTCCAGTGTGAGGGTCGGACGTTGATGTTTTTGGGTCAAGGTGACATAGTGTGGGATAGTTGGGGTGTCATAGTACGGCAATAGTCTATCGTACGGCAATAGTCTATCGTACGGCAATAGTCTATCGTACGGCAATAGTCTATCGTACGGCAATAGTCTATCGTACGGCAATAGTCTATCGTACGGCAATAGTCTATCGTACGGCAATAGTCTATCGTACGGCAATAGTCTATCGTACGGCAATAGTCTGTCGTGTTTTAACATCCAACTTTGGTTGACAGGCGAGTATATTTACTTCAAACATCACGTGATCATAGACAGACCTTGAGTTTTTGTCACGTGATCTACCTTTAACTAGCTACAACTGTTGGATGTGTGTAGTGTAGTGTGTACTGTATCTGTGTAGTATGCACTGTATGTGTGTAGTGTAGTGTATATGTGTAGTGTGTGTAGTGTATGTGTGCAGTGTGTACTGTATGTGTGTAGTGTGTACAGTATGTGTGTCGATTCACGTGACACTATAAACAAACATGGTGTATCTGTTTGTTTACTATTTGTGTTGTAGTAAACAGTTATTTAAAGGTCCTTAGGTTGCGGTGGGAGGGATGGACGGGGTGGCAGATGTTGACCTTCAGATAACACACATATTGACATCTAGAGATGTAAGAGCTAAAGTAGCTGCCTACTTTAGTTTGGGGGAGTGTGTTTTATGGCTTTGTTCTCACAGCTAGTGAAAGTATCATGCAAGTCTTTAACCATGTAAGTATGTAACATGTCAGTGTGTAATCATTGACCTAGCTAACCATGTAAGTATGTAATGTGTGAGTGTGTAATTATTTACCTAGCTAACCGTTGTCGTCAGTTGGTGACCTACAAACTGTCAAACACTCACTCACCAACTAGCAATAGAAGCACGCTGTGTTCGGTGTGTGCTGGCACTATTTTACACTTTCCTCTCGTGTGGTGTGGGGGGGGGGGGGGGAGATGCACGCGGTGTGTATACCGGGGGGGGGGGGGGCAGCACGCAACAATCAATTCACAAATCTAACAATGGACTAGATTAACTGCACCTTGAGGCCTGAGGCCAGTCGCATTCATCATGATGAATTTCTTCCACTGTCGTCCCCCCCCCCCCCCCCCAACAAGTCGCCACAACAAATCCTCATGTTTTTTTAGCCATCACTGCTCGCCACCCGCGGCTGATAGATGGATTCACGAGGGCTTGGCGAGTTGTATCTTAGAGATCAATAATCACACCCTCCCTCTTTCTCCCTCCTGCCCGTCAGTGACGATAGACACCCCCTCCCTTGTGGTGACCTATAGACGCCCCCTCCCTTGTCGTGACCTAAAGACACCCCTCCCTTGTGGTGACCTAAAGACACCCCCTCCCTTGTGGTGACCTAAAGACACCCCTCCCTTGTCGTGACCTAAAGACACCCCTCCCTTGTGGTGACCTAAAGACACCCCCTCCCTTGTCGTGACCTAAAGACACCCCCTCCCTTGTCGTGACCTAAAGACGCCCCGTCACTTGTCCTTACCTAAAGACACCCCTCCCTTGTCGTGACCTAAAGACACCCCTTCCCATGTCGTGACCTAAAGACGCCCCGTCACTTGTCCTTACCTAAAGACACCCCTCCCTTGTCGTGACCTAAAGACACCCACTCCCATGTCGTGACCTAAAGACGCCCCCTCACTTGTCCTTACCTAAAGACACCCCTCCCTTGTCGTGACCTAAAGACACCCCTTCCCATGTCGTGACCTAAAGACGCCCCGTCACTTGTCCTTACCTAAAGACACCCCTCCCTTGTCGTGACCTAAAGACACCCCCTCCCATGTCGTGACCTAAAGACGCCCCCTCACTTGTCGTGACCTAAAGACACCCCCTCCCATGTCGTGACCTAAAGACGCCCCCTCACTTGTCCTTACCTAAAGACACCCCCTCACTTGTCCTTACCTAAAGACACCCCTCCCTTGTCGTGACCTAAAGACGCCCCCTCACTTGTCGTGACCTAAAGACACCCCCTCCCTTGTCGTGACCTAAAGACGCCCCGTCACTTGTCCTTACCTAAAGACACCCCTCCCTTGTCGTGACCTAAAGACACCCCCTCCCTTGTCCTTACCTAAAGACACCCCTCCCATGTCGTGACCTAAAGACACCCCCTCCCTTGTCGTGACCTAAAGACACCCCCTCCCATGTCGTGACCTAAAGACGCCCCCTCACTTGTCCTTACCTAAAGACACCCCTCCCTTGTCGTGACCTAAAGACACCCCCTCCCTTGTCCTGAGTAGTAGGCGCCCACTCCTTTGTCTCAAGCAATGCGCACCTGCTGATTTTACCTCCTGCACCATCAATCCAGTCGTTAACACACAAGCAGCTACCCTACACACATACACACACACACACACACACACCTGATGCCATATTTTACCCATACATCCAATCATTGTATACAGCCATTCAATCATTCCAATCACCAGTGTAGCGTGTCAATCGTCCATCTTATTTAGCCAAGCCTCCATCCAATTAATTAGGTGATTTTTTTGTCAAACCTGCCCGTCTGTCTATCTGATAGACTCGGCTATCAGACTCGATGATTGTGTGATGTCAGACGCCGGTGACATGTGTCATAGTATGTGCCAGTGTCACACCGAAATGACATTTGTCCATAACATATCAATGTCAACAGTCAATGCCATGTGTCAGTGTCGTTTGTTAGTGCCATTTGTCATGTATCAGTGTCGTGTGTCAGTGTCATATGTTTGGCATGACAAGGAAATACATCCAGGCCAATCAACCCTTCCATTTTCTATTGACATCACTGTTGCCATGGAAACGGCAATGATTATTTTGAAAGCCTGTAGAGATCTAGGTCAGACCACGTGACACGTACATCAGTGAGTTCAGTGCCGAGTCCTGGTCTGTCTAGAACGAGAATTCTTAGCATCATCATTGACGTCACAGTGTGTACCATCAGACTTTGACGTCACATACCGACCTTCAAACTGACGTCAGACAACATATTTTTTGCAGTAGCACTTGTGTCAACCTGAGGGCGGGAATCTATGCTGTGTCAGCACCCCGTCAACCCAGCACCCCGTCAACCCAGCACCCCGTCAACCCAACACCCCAACACCCAATCCCAGGCTTGGTCCACCCGACCTACTGACCTAGTTTAAACTGAATCACCCCAATGCCTTGATTACATCTTGTATCACCACCGACATATTGATGCGGTCAACTTGTCCGCTTTCTCCGCCGTTATCTCTCTTGTTCTATTTTTAGCCGGGCTATTTAACCCACTTTAGTGCAATCTTTATACTGACCGATATTAAAGGCCAACAACTCGTACACTATGTACTAGCCAACAACTAGCCAACAACTCGTACACTATGTACTAGCCAACAACTAGCCAACAACTCGTACACTATGTACTAGCCAACAACTCGTACACTATGTACTAGCCAACAACTAGCCAACAACTAGACAACAACTAGCCAACAACTAGCCAACAACTCGTACTAGCCATCAGTAGCATGTAGCCAAGTTAGCGACAGTCAGTTTTTAATTTGTTGGTTGACCAGACAGTCTTCTGTCAGCCACATTTATAAACCATGCCAGATTTCTTTAAATCTCCCAACGTCCGTTCTATGAGTGCCCCGAGAGATTCGTGCCAAGATTCCATTCTTGTCTGGCCTAAAATATCTGTGACGTAATCAAACACCTCGCCAACATGTTTGTAAATATTTTCTTTGACAAATCGAAACAAATCGATGAACGATTGATTAGTTCCAACATTAGCACGGTGACATGACGTCATCGTGTAGAATAGGACTGGCCTTCATTGGCTCAACTGTACTGATTGATGTATCTCCAGCAATTATATCCAGCTATGCTAATGATGTGTTAATTGGTGTGAATGTGTGGTGATGAGGTATGGACGTGACGTCATATTTCTTCTGCTTACGTCAACATGTTTTGTTGTAAAACAAAATCATAAGATATAATGTTACATTTCCGACAGGTCTAGCTACCGATGATTGTGTCACAGTACTTCAGTGATTGTGTGCTAGAAGTCAATGATTGTGCCACCAGGTCCATGATTGTGCCATGGCTACCTGGGTGTGCTCGACCAAAAAGTTCCTGTCGTCTGCCATCACGTCCATAGCTGGGGAGCTCGAGCAGACGGTACTCGACTTTAACGGTAAGATTTGGTATCGATACTGTCCGTTTAGACATCGATGCCGCCAAACTAACAATAGATATCGATAATTTAGATAATAGTAACAAAATGAATCATCAATATCGGTTAAAAAAACTTAAACTGCCAGTTATGTAAAGTAGTCATCAAATCCAGTCATACACATAGATACCAGTAAAATGGTATCGATTACCATCCTATGAATCTAAACTGCCTCCCGAAGCTTTAAACAAAACTGACCACTGCACCACGACCTACCACACGTCTGCCAATTTAAAATTTCTGGAATATTTTTTTTTTCGCAGACGCGATCCACAACCTGAGCAACAAGCAGGAAGCCGCTAGAGTACATGGCGCGCCCAGCGAGATCCACCCGCACTCCACCGTGGTGGAACATCCACCTCAAGCCGCTAGAGTACATGGCGCACCCAGCGATATCCACCCGCACTCCACCGTGGTGGAGCATCCACCTCAAGCTAAACCACTCACTAACAAGTCTGATGTGGTTCTTGCTTTAGACCCCCAGCAGTGTGAGACTAGCCTACCTCACCTGCAAGAAAGTGAGACTAGCCTACCTCACCTGCAAGAAAGTGAGACTGTATCTCACCTGCAAGAAAGTGAGACTAGCCCACCTCACCTGCAAGAAAGTGAGACTGTATCTCACCTTCAAGAAAGTGAGACCTGTCCACCTCACCTTCAAGAAAGTGAGACTTACTTTCAACTTCCTGCAGTAACAACCAAACAGCCGCAGACGATTGGCTTCGCGCCAATTTTAAATGCCCGACTCTCCAGGTCATCCCCCTCCCTATTCCCGGATGATGCATCATGGGAGAGGAAATCAGAGAACAGTGACAGATCCTCCCCTCTCGACTCTATCTACTCGGCCTCCTCCCCCTGTCTGTACCAGCAGACACACACACAAACACATACACAGACACAAACACACACACAGACACAGGGCTGTCTCCAGACCAGGCGACTTTTCTATCGGGAAAACCCAAACTTCTCCCAGACGATCAATCTACCGGGACCGGAAGTCATCTCACGCGGAGATACGCTGGAGTTCCAGGGTTCGAAACCCGGCAGGTTCGGCAGGTCCCGGGTCGTCTGCCAGAAACGCCCGGGGCGGGTAGTGCGGACCTCGGGGGCAGACGAGCAGCAGACGGCAGAAGGCGAGCAGACCACTGACAGCAGCAGTGACGTCACCGACAGGCAGTGCGTGTTGGTCAACGCCCCGACCCACGTATCCATCGAGAGGGACCCACATCCGCTCAGGTGGATGACCCTGGAGCCCTTGTCACGTGTCTTGTCCTTCGCCTTCAGCCAGTTGGCCAACATCATCCTCATGCTATCAGACGACCAGCAGACGTACGACAGACCCCCCAGCCGACAGTTGACCTACGACAGACCGCCCAGCCGACAGATGACCCTGACGTACGACACGCCTCGCCAGCAGACGACACCAGACTTGCAGACGCGCGAGGGACATTTCCAGACGATCTGTGACGTCATCTCGCCAGACTCGTCCATCATTCGGTCAACATACTCGTGCGAGAGCTTCGAGATCATCGACCCCTGTGACCCCTGTGACCCCTGCAGCCATGAACCCTGCAGCCATGACCCCTGCAGCCATGACCCCATGAGGGTTCGACTCACCCCTCCACCCGGTGAGAGATCCTTCCTGTCGAGGCTGTACCACGGTAACCATGACAACACGGACTCCCTGAGTGTATCCGCCTTTGTCAGCGTCAACCCCGGTCTAACGTCAAGCGCTGAGTTTGTTAACTTCAACTTTAAAGAGCTCATCATCAACCGACATTTCAACACGCTGAACCCAGTCCTAGCTGCTGACGTCACACAGCCGCCTGACGTCATACAATCTGACGTGTCAGCTGACAGTCCGGCCCTGACGCAAGCCGGAGCAGACGATGACGGTGATGACGACAGCACATCGTTCTCCATCATCTCTGACAACGACAACGAGGAGTTCATTGTCGTCTGATTGTGTCGTCTGATTGTGTCGTCTGATTGGTTGTGTCGTCTGATTGTGTCGTCTGATTGATTGTGTCGTCTGATTGTGTCGTCTGATTGTGTCGTCTGATTGATTGTGTCGTCTGATTGTGTCGTCTGATTGTGTCGTTCGTCTGATCGTGTTGTCTGATTGATTGTGTCGTCTGATTGTGTCGTTCGTCTGATCGTGTCGTCTGATTGATTGTGTCGTCTGATTGTGTCGTCTGATCGTGTCGTCTAATTGACTGACGTACACACTACCCTGTCGTACAAGTCATGACCAGAGTTTCTACCAGGCATCTCTTCGCCCCCCCCCCCCCCCCGAACGAAATGAAATTTATATAGAAAACATACTTTTAATAGTGTCCGTCCCCCCCCCCGAAGAAAGTCTACCCTCCCCCCCCCCCCGAAAATTTCAAGCGCCCCCCCCCCCCTCTGGAGAAAAAAGTCTGAAAGAAACACTGGTCATGACTGAAGTCAACTTTGTGTTGTCAACTTATGTCTTACTATTTCTATTTGAAAACTCAAACAATGTAAAAAGTTGTCATCTGCCTGACATTCGGCTAATGACATTCGGCTAATGACATTCTGCTAATGACATTCGGCTAATGACATGAGCATCCTGTCTCCATTACGTGACGTCATTGATATTTGTAAAGCTGTTTGCTGAAGCTAACATCAGCTAGAACCACTAGCTACAGCTAAACTTGTGTACCAGAATTTTGTGTACTAGACATGTTTTTACCAGAATTGTGTGTACTAGACTTGTGTACCAGGATTTTGTATGAGATTTTAATGTATCAGACTTTGATATACCAAACTTTTGTTGTACACCATAATTGTGTGTACTAGACTTGTACACCATAATTATGTGTACTAGACTTATACATTATAATTGTGTGTACTAGAATTGTACACCAGAGTTGTTTTTTTCTATAATGTGGTGGCGGCTCCTTCATTTTTTTTTTGGTTAATTTTTTCCCGGGAGTTTTTTTGATGTCTTTCAAATGTTCTATCTCTAGACTTTACGGTACATTTGTTTCTTGATATGTTCGATCTCTAGACTTTACTTACCAACATATCTTATGTTTGTATTGGATAAAATGTGCTTGAAATCTTCTAATTCTACCACAAAGCTGATATTCCACACGACAAACTGGTAGATTCTCCTTGTTCTAGACTTTATGTGGTAGCTTCTCCTTGTTCTACTGCGGTCCTTATTTATGGAACCATCTCACGTGACTTTAAGGACTGAGGTCTCTCATCCATGACTCCAAGACACTGTAGTTGTGTCTCGGGACATTTTCCCCTCATTAAGAGATTAGGTCTAGATTCCAGCCGGGACTAATGTCCCTCAAAATGTTCTTTGAGATTCTGTTGCTGTCAACTCCACACTTTACCTACACTCATGTTTTTTTTTAACTTTACGCTTTGTGTTTGGTGGCTTCAAGAATGTGACGGTTTTAATCAGTTTAACGTGTGTTTCTATAATTAAACAATTTTAATTAATTTAAATGTGTGTTCATGTTTTTCATACGTTGTTAATATAATATTTCACTTATATTCGGTATATGTGGGCCGGTGATATGTTGACTGTCAATGATGGTCAGTGTCATGTCTGTCAGTGAGGGGACGTATCGTGGTGTCTGCTGTCATGTCTGTCAGTGAGGGGACGTATCGTGGTGTCTGCTGTCATGTCTGTCAGTGAGGGGACGTATCGTGGTGTCTGCTGTCATGTCTGTCAGTGAGGGGACGTATCGTGGTGTCTGCTGTCATGTCTGTCAGTGAAGGAACGTATCGTGGTGTCTGCTGTCATGTCTGTCAGTGAGGGAGGTCAACTGTCAAGTTTGGCACTGACCTCCAGGAACTGAACGTCCAATTGCTTGCGTCCATTGTGACAGTGTGACATGGGATTTGCGCATGACAGGATGTAGACGGTCACGTGCATCACCCACGTGTCAGCTGGTGTGATGTTGCCGCCCTCAGCCCTCAGACATTGGCCCGGGGTTCAAACCTCGTGGAAAATACCAGAAGAAAAGTCTGACGGTTGAAAAGTGCCGTACAGCCCGGGGAGGGGGGCGGGGCACGATGGACGTCTGCGTGATAAAATCAATAACATGAGAAGGTAAACATCGCTCACGTGGTTGGTACTAATGACCGCTCTAACATGTGACCACCCCCCCCCCCCCACTAACAGACGTCACTGGCCAGACGCCGAGGGTTTTTCTGGGAATGTGAGTGGTCGAGGTTGTAGAGTACTCAACCCTCAACAGTGGGTAGAGAACCAAGTCTGCGATGTGAGTGGTCGAGGTTGTAGAGCACTCAACCCTCAACAGTGGGTAGAGAACCAAGTCTGCGATGTGAGTGGTCGAGGTTGTAGAGCACTCAACCCTCAACAGTGGGTAGAGAACCAAGTCTGCGATGTGAGTGGTCGAGGTTGTAGAGCACTCAACCCTCAACAGTGGGTAGAGAACCAAGTCTGCGATGTGAGTGGTCGAGGTTGTAGAGCACTCAACCCTCAACAGTGGGTAGAGAACCAAGTCTGCGATGTGAGTGGTCGAGGTTGTAGAGCACTCAACCCTCAACAGTGGGTAGAGAACCAAGTCTGCGATGTGTGTGGTCGAGGTTGTAGAGCACTCAACCCTCAACAGTGGGTAGAGAACCAAGTCTGCGATGTGAGTGGTCGAGGTTGTAGAGTACTCAACCCTCAACAGTGGGTAGAGAACCAAGTCTGCGATGTGAGTGGTCGAGGTTGTAGAGCACTCAACCCTCAACAGTGGGTAGAGAACCAAGTCTGCGATGTGAGTGGTCGAGGTTGTAGAGCACTCAACCCTCAACAGTGGGTAGAGAACCAAGTCTGCGATGTGAGTGGTCGAGGTTGTAGAGCACTCAACCCTCAACAGTGGGTAGAGAACCAAGTCTGCGATGTGAGTGGTCGAGGTTGTAGAGCACTCAACCCTCAACAGTGGGTAGAGAACCAAGTCTGCGATGTGAGTGGTCGAGGTTGTAGAGTACTCAACCCTCAACAGTGGGTAGAGAACCAAGTCTGCGATGTGAGTGGTCGAGGTTGTAGAGCACTCAACCCTCAACAGTGGGTAGAGAACCAAGTCTGCGATGTGAGTGGTCGAGGTTGTAGAGCACTCAACCCTCAACAGTGGGTAGAGAACCAAGTCTGCGATGTGAGTGGTCGAGGTTGTAGAGCACTCAACCCTCAACAGTGGGTAGAGAACCAAGTCTGCGATGTGTCTGTTCAAAGCTTTGTCTTAGGGTCTGTTTGATGATAGCCCTTGTGTCGGGTTGGATCTCAGGACATGTAGGACATTGTCCTGGGATCTATTTGATGATTGAATCTTAGGACGTGTAGGACATTGTCCTGGGATTTATTTGATGGTAGTCCTTGTGTCGGGTTGGATCTCAGGACGTGTAGGACATTGTCCTAGAGTCACTTAAGTCAGGCGCATTAGGAAATGTTTTACACCTCACCCACCCAGCTGTCCTGGGGGATCCCAATAGAATCTTCGCTCGTCATTACACCCCCCCCCCCACACACACACACCATGATTAGAATACACACAACCGTTAACCCTAACCGTACACCCACCCGAATACCCCCTCACCCATTCCCTCCCACTACCCCTACTCCCCTACCCCCATTCCAATACTACCCCGTTATCCTACCCCATCTACCACATTTCCCCACACTACACCCACACCGCCCAAACCCCACCACTCCCCCCACCAACCCCCCCCCCCCCCTACTTACTCACATGTTGATCAAACACTGTTGACAGATAACAGGAATCTATTTTTAGCACGTTACGACACCGATTGTGGAAAATTCACGAAGGAAATATAACCATGGAAAATATCAGTCACATGACATGTTTATATGCAGTTAGCTCCCCTGCTCCTAACGACGAGAAGGAAAATTAGAAGCTCTGAGACGACAATCGCGGTAATAACACAAACATGTCTTGTAAATATGCATTTACGATTGAAAAATTCTACTGCATGATATATTGTATGGACAATAAACGTTTTATTTATTGATATGTTGCCTGTCTAGACTCTTGCAGTACAGAGCTGTATAACATTTACTAAATATCTAAACCAACATATAAGGGACGGTTTTTCTTGCTTTAAATCGTCTCTTTACCTTAAAACAAAAGTAACTGCTGCGGCAAGATATTTGTTTGAAGGCCATGGATGGGCGATGGTCGCCCAGGGGGTGGCGGGGGGGGGGGGGGGGGGGGGGGCTGTCTAATTCCAGATCTGTGGGAGTAGAGGTAGTTATGGAGGGCGGTCCCATGAAATTTTTGTTTACAGTTGAGTGGATACCTGGGATTGACGTCATTTCCGCTGGAACCGTCCAGGTGTTGCCTGAGATTTCCATGGAAAACATAAAGATTAGAGCAGTGACCTACTTGGCCGTCTAGTGACCTACTTGCTGTGGTCAATACGGTATTTTCCTCCCGGCTAGTTTGTTGCGACATGACATGGCACTGTCCGGTAGATGTCATCAGTTGAGTGAATGTCAGATGTTAGTTGTGATATGACCTCAGCTTTACAGTAGATGACAGTTGTTGTCATATGTCACATTAATGACATGTACGTGACACATTAATTCAGGTTTTATCGAACAGTTCGCGGTATTGACATGTTGCTGTTTGAAAAGATACTGAGAATATGGGACATAACTCCAGCTAGAAATCTTATGGGACACAACTTCAGCTCACACCTTTTCAAAAGTTTTATTCCCAAAGTTAAAATTCAGTCCCAACCCTGCCTTATATCAAGTTCTATCACACAACAAAAGGCCATTAGATCCAGATATATTTAGTTTATCCTCAGCCCACTCTCTCGCCCAGCCCTACCCTTTGATAGTGACAAAATAATTTCGGGTTCCGAACGCTTCGTGCTACGAACGTTCCAGGCCATGATACTTCCCGCTTACCTAACGGCGGGATCACCGTCAGAGTTTTTTCCAGGCATCTATACAGCTTCCGCCCCCCCCCCCCGGAAATTTTAGTCCGTCCCTCCGCCCCCCCCCCCCCTATGGAGAAAAAAGCCTGGAAGAAACACTGATCACTGTAAGGTTCTAGCACTTGCTACAGTACTGTCCATCACGTCTATGTGTGACCTACCTGTCTAAGTGTGACCCACCTGTCTTGTAACGTCTAAATCCACATTCAACGCAAGACTGTGACGGACGACGTTAATTAGGCGATTTGACCACAATCAACACTGACCTCTAATTAGGTGATTGACAACAATCAAACCGGGACGACCTTAAGTAAAAGACTGACCA